ATGTTCTATCTTCTATATTTACTTTGTATTCGAAAATTTAATTAGAGTAATATTTGATAATATAATATTCTTATTATTCATTGATTGCAATATGAATGAAAATAGTGATTTGTTTTAATCACAGTTCTAATAATTTAAACCTGAAAGTATGGGGTTCTAGAAAAGTAGGTGGTTCTCAGCCTCTAAAATATGGAATTCCAGAAATTGATGCTTTAAACCTACACTTTTTTCCTGCTTTTTCTGCTCCATGAAGAATTTTATCAGACCGAAAAATTTAAATTATTACATTTATACTTTTAAAATTTTGTTTACAGTCTCATCCAAACTCAACTCGCCAGATTAGACCTTATATTATTTATATTTTTAAATAAAAACTAGTAGAAACAATCTTTAAAGAATGCTTATTTTCATTTTTTTTGTCTGAATTTCTTAATATTCTGGAAATGAGCATCTTTTTTCTACCCGTCTTGCCCACAGTGCAAATTTTTTAAATTGCCGCCCTCATATCTGTAGCCCATGTAATAAAAAATAAGTTAAAATAATTCTTTATAACAAAATAGAAAAAAGGTTAATGATAAATACACACACACCCTATGATTCCAAAACACGGCGTCAAATTACCTTAGAAATGATAGTCGTCGGAAATCGATCGTCGCGTCAAAAAAAATTGTACAAGTACCTACCTAAATATTTATATCGATGCTACGATATCATTATAGAAGTAACTAAATTTTTTTGTCGGAATATGATCGATCGTGTCAAAAAATTGTACGAGTATCTAAAAAATTATTTCGATGCTATGATTTCGTTGTAGAAGTAGCCAAACTTTTTTCTTTTAAAGTATAAAAGATAATAAACGGGGTTCCATCATCACTTAGTAAACACTTACAAAAAATGCTTATTACAAAGAAATTTCAGATAGAAACGCTTTCGTACAGATGCATTTATAAGACAGAATATATATAATACTAACAATAAGTACAATAATATTCACTATAGCAGAAATGCACCGTTTTTACTTCTGCACTGTGATCAATTACCGCACGTCAAAAGGTCCTGTTCGTCTAATTCTAATATAAATATTTGAGAATTAAAAGCGGCAACGTCGTGGGTCTGGCGAAAACGAATAAACTTCTATTTTTTATATAAATGGGACAAATTAAACGGTCCAGCATCAGGCCTGAAGGCATCGCTTTGAACATTTTTCGTCCGATATACCCCGGGTCTGACGGCCTATCTTCAACTGTACCGGGTCTGACTCTGCCAATGTAATAAATATATATATATGGCAGAGAGTTATATAGCAGCAGCAGCAGCAGTTATATATATATATATATATATATATATATATATATATATATATATATATATCCACATATATATATTGTTATCTATATATATATATACTACATATATATATGATATAATATATATATATATATATATATATATATATATATATATATATATATATATATATATATGCTATAGTATATATATATATATGTTAACTTACATATATATATATATATATATATATATATATATATAGCTGCCATATATATATATATACTATATATATATATACACATATATATAGTTATATATATATATATATACATATATATATATATTATATATATATATATATATATATATATATATATTGATATATATATATATATATATATATATATATATAGCTATATATATATATATATATATATATATATATATATATATATATATATATATATATATATATATGTAATAAAATCCAATTAAGTGTCTAAAATTAACAACTGCTTTGTTTTAAGTCGCTTTTTGTCCTTTTTTCGTTCATTAATATTTTATCAAAAATGTAAAAATTCTCATTCTACGACACTGAATCTTTTTAATACTTTATAAACTTTTTCTCTGGCAAACTGAATTTTAAGTTTAGCTAATTTAGGTGTAAACTTTTTTGACATGAAGCATAAAGGTATATACAGGGTGTCCCAGAAATAAATACAAGTATTTTAAGGGGGGGTAGATCTGGTCAAAAGAAACATTTTTTTTCTTTACTGTTTTTCAAATAAATCCAAAATAACCGAGTTATTTTACTTTAAAAATTTCCAAAAAAATGATTTTTTCCTAAAATGTTGAGAACCACTGGATCTTTTCTGGATTTTATTTCATGTAAATTTAAGCTACTATCTATGTTGCTATGTTGTAAGAAATTACGTTTTTAACTTAAAACTAAAAAAATTTCCAAAAATTCCAAATTTTCAATTTTTTTTTCGCAAAAAATACCTCATAGGCCTGTTTCTGAGGCCGAAATATACTACCAGTTAAAATACTTGCACTTATTTCTGGGATACCCTGTATATGTTACTAATTTAGCTGCAGTCCCTTAATAAAATTACACCTGTAAAGTATCGACTACTTATTACATACAAACATTTTATTGGATACAATTAATCAATATTCATCACGCTTAAAAATATAAAAGCAGAAAAGTCTTTTTTTATTGCTGTACATGTTTCACCGACATTTTGTTATTTATTAATATAAATTGTGTAAATAAATTCCCTTTATTAGAGTATATTTGTAGACATAAAGGTATCGTTTGTTACAATTTAGAAAATATTTTCTTCGTATAATAATTCTGATTTTTTCATTATTAATAATTTTGTTTAATATTTTATGTCTATATTTTATAATAATAATAATAACGTTTATTAAAGTATCATTACATGTTCTCTTGAATTAACTAGATATAAAATAGAACTGTATGATCGAAAAAAAAACGGCGTCCGGTTGGCTTGGAAATGACGACCGATGACATTCTCCATATAATTTTACATATAAAATGACAAGCGATCTTCATTTCATAGACATCCCTGACGATTTTTTTTCATAAAAGTCTAAAAATTACTCTAAATTACTCTACCTTGATCAACCATCCATTTGTGTAGCCCTTTTTACCCAGGGAAACTTATAACTTCCTTTAAGAGGGTTGGTAAAATGTTATATAAACGAGGTGGAAAAAATTTTGATGATCTCTGTCCAATAGTTTTAGAGTATAAAAGGGTATAAAGCTAAAACGGTCTTATGTCTAGTTTCATGTTCAACATATTCCCCGGTATTTTCCCATTATAAATTAATTTTATTACAACTAGACAGTACAGATGACGTATATCCAGTAGATGCGCCTGCTTAAAGAGAAGGTTTTCTTGTTTTTATTGTAAATAATTTTTATGAACCATTTTTGAACAGAATTCAAGCTTTTTAAATGACATTTAGCCGCACCACCCTACCATAGAATGCCATATATCAAATGAGATTGTACAAGAGATTATTATTATTATTAGTAGTACAGGATTTTAAGCTTGTTTATTATGACGTTCAAAAAACTTTTCAAATAATTAAATTTCGGTGACAACCCTCTTAATTTTATAGTTATATTATTAATATGAATATTCCGTTTAAGATGGGTGTCAATTGTAACCACTAAATATTTTATAAAATCACATTCTGATATTATTATAAAAAAATAAAGCTACAACAATGCAGCCAAATAATGCATGAAAATATTTGTTTTATTTTAAAATTTTAATGATTATTCATTCGAAACTCGGCACATTATATATTATCGTAGTCGAAAAATATATTTTGTGACTCTAAAGCTTGCAAGCTTTCTCTAGATTTTAATGTTTTTCGTTATAAAGGTTTATCTTAAAATAATGATGGTATAATATGAAACGAGGTTTCATTCTGACAAGCATTTATTCAAGAGAAGATATAATGACGCTTTGAAATAAAAGATTTTACAAAGGGCAGGACCTTACGAAGCTGGGCATTAATAATACGATAAGTAGAAGATTGTATCAGCTGATATTGCTTCTATCGTGGGAAAATTACAGGTTTAATGAAAAAAAAATCAAAATTGCCTCCAAACCGACGAAAATGCAAACTGATTATGTTAAATTAAGCTAAATAGAGAGGAAATTTAAGTGGCTTCTCCTAGTATTATTTTATTTTTATTTTCTATTTTTATTTCAATACAGCGACAGATAACATTTTTGTTTGATAATAGAAGAGCACATCAGCCACATATTTTATCTATGCATAGTTTTCTAATGTTGGGAATGAGTGTGAATAATGTGTTGCCCTAAATACACATTTTTATATCAAATCCAAAAAAACTTCTGACTAAAAAGTAACTGGATATGTATAAAAGAGATTTAGTAGGCTTAATCGAGTCTATTACAATTTTTCATAATTTCCATCATAAGATTTAATAATTAAATTAAAATAATACTCTTAGAAACGACTAATATTCGATATTCGTTCAAAAAACTTTATAGATTTTGACGTTAGTCTTGTTATAAAGGAAGCACAAAGAAAAAATCCGTATAAAACCTATTTAACAAATATATTTTTCGTGTTTAGAAATAAGATTTCCTATATAAAATATTTCTAAAAACTTTTTAAATTAAAAGTTCCATTTCCAATCTGATCCTATTTTTCTCACATTCAGAGAGAAAAAGTGATCAAATAAGCAAAAAAATAAAGATAAATACTATTAGGACCTTAAAGTACAAAGAGCAAAGTCTCTTAAATAAAAGAAAAATGTTTAAAAAGCTTCCTAATAGAGTTTAAGCTTGAATGTAATAGACTCGCACATTGAGAAAAAAAGAATATATGTTTTAAATTTTAGATTTTTCTTTTAAAATTTATATAATTTATGCCAATAAGAAATACCTATTACAGGAATGACCGTTTATTTATGAGAACTTTTAGTATTTTATTGACGCATAAATTTAAGGCTACCGGTGTGTCACAAATCAATTTCATACCGGATTAGGCAACAGAACAAAAGTTAAACTGATTAAGCCATATTGAATAGATACTTTTTAATACAATATATTTCATTTTAGAGCCAATTGATACTGTTTTGATTAATTCTATTGAAAACATTTATTGTTTCATCTGTCAATAACATTAAAATTACTCACATGTTTGAAAATGAGTTATCCTGACATGTCACTGATAAATCTTCACCGTTTTCAAATGGATCAATGGAATTTGACACAAGTTTATGTAAAAAACATAACTCGTCTAAGGTCAAAAAGTCCTGAGAATTTATTCTAGATGTTCCATCTAATAAATAATCATTAATAACTTTGAATTTATGGAACTTATTTAAGGTAGCTGCGTATGGCAGTGCGATATTTTCGTCAATATTTAAACCTGGAGATTTTCTTATTCCATCATAAACAACCCTAAAAGAAAGTTTTGAAAGAAAATCTTTCTTCTGTTCTCATATAATCACTTGTAGCATATTTTACTTACTTACGCATCATCCAAGATGACAGCATCCTGGTATTCATAGTGTATTTTGGATCTATTTCAATTTTTCTGATTAACTCTACTAATAGTGGGACAGTTAATGGTGGTCTAGCGGTAATAGTAAAGTTTCTTCTGTAACATCCTTGCAATTCTTCGGGAATAGAATTTGTAATTTGACATTTCGCAATTTCTATAACAGAAATAACATCATCAGATGATATAATAATTAATAATTTTCATGAAATAAATATATAAATATTGTTCCTTTGTGCATTTTATAGAGAATAAAGTGACTTGGAAACCAGGACTTTATTGAGCCAATCTTACATTGCATATACTTTTAAAACAAAAACACGTATTAACGTTTACCTCTAACGATCTAGGTTCTACTGTATATTATGAATAATATAAAGCTGGATAAGTTAACTAGAGAATAATTTAATAACTACCCTTCAAGGATACAAAATATTATAACGAAGATTTCAAAAATTCAATTTTAATCTTAAATTTTAATTTAGTTCTGGTTTATTTTAAATAACTGTTTTACTGTTTAATATTACCCAATTTAAATATTAATTAACCCTTATAAGAGATACAAGATATACTTACCTTATAATTAAAAAAATATATTATTTAACTTACCAAATAAGCAAATTGATGTAAATATAACCTTAAAATAAAGTGCCATTGTTAGAATAATAATATCATAAGTTGTTGCTGATAATTATTTTCGCCTATAATCTAATAATTATTATCTTATCTTTTACTCGTACAGATGATTCACCAACGTATCTATGCGTATCAGATTACAAAATTACAACTTTCCATATAACATTTTCCTAAATAAATTACTATTACAAAGCGCATATCTTTGAACCAACGTAATAATTTTTTAGAAGTTACACTAACTTCACTGACGTATTTATTTATTTAATTTTGTCTTTAGATAATTGTGCAAAAAACGCAGCAAGATTATATATTTTTATCATTCTTTTGTGAGCATTTTTCAACAGTTTTAATTTCCTTCCTTTCATTTCTCATAAAAGGATTCCCCAGTTCATTGGAGAATGGAACAAGTGAAAAATAAATAGAACGTTAAATCAGCTATATCCAGTAGTCTTTTGATTTGTGTAAAGGGGAAGAACGCAACTCAAAGCTTTTTTTAGAATACCTATTGAAAATTCCATTTTAAATGGGCTCATTTCTTTTAAGCATATATGTTTCTCTAAAAGAAAAACATATTCTTTATCTCTTTATGTCTATATCTAATAAATTGTTTGATAAATATCAAATACTTGTTTTATTTAAAGTTACGGAAAATATAATTGGGAATCTACTAACATTAAAACGGTGCTTAATCAGGTTCTTTATTTTTTTAGTGTGTTTGTTACAAAGTTTTCTACCAGAGAACAACTGTTGCTCTTCTTTGTTTCTGCCCCAAAATAGGGGAGTAATGCTTGAAGGCAGTGTGACTTCAGTTATTCTGTTTCGGGTCACCAAGATTAAATAACACTTAAATAATAGGGAAGTCTCAGTTAAATTTCCAAGAGGAGCTCAATAAACTATCCTTTGGCATGAAAATGGTACCATTCTCGGTACCATTTCATTTATTTTCGAGCATCGAAGATGACACACGACAACATCCCGATAACAAGAATTCTACTACCTCTTTCAGTTTCTTAGCTTGAAAGGAGAGGGGGAATCCCGTCTGGCACCTTGGCTGGGTGGGGAGGGGTTGGTCGTGGCTTAACCGCGACCAAGAAGAGCCAACCTCACAGCCTGGTAACGTAGCAACTACGTCACCTAGAACTCATTTCCCTTAAAGGAATAAAATGCTCACTGGGAAGTCGTCCAACACCGAGAGGCAAGAAGGGACGTGTGTCACCAGGGGTGGAACTTTGTAACTAAATAGCGATCGGTAGCATTTAGTTTCTACAGCCAAGGTCAGTATTCTTTTCATTGCTACCGATCACTAGTTAGTTACAGGGTTCCACCCCAGCTTTACTAGGACTCCAATGTAATGACATCGAGTTGGCGAGTTCACTCAAGAGTCAACTCAAGGGAGGAGGGCCATAGTCAGGTCCTCACAATAGTAATTGACCTCAAATCCAAAAAGGCAATAGAGAAAGAAAGATATATCTTCTATTATAGATTCGGGACAGCACCGGTATCAGGTCCAAGGAGAGACTAAGTTAGAGGTGGAGAAAATGTAGGACAGATTCTCCAGCCTCCACCTCACGGTTAATTCAGCCGGAGACAACCACCTTGACTGTGAAGGACACGGAGGGCCAAACCCTAAGCGTTGAAGGGTGTTTACCCTCGGAAGAGCTAGATGCCCACTCCTCGGGAAAGAAGATCTGTTCTCAGAGAAGGATGGGAATTAGCCTGTCGACTTTACAACAGAAAAATCCCCATGTATGATAAGCTATGGACAGTATGGTATAACTTACTCAGCAAGTAAAGGTAAAGCTGACATTTCTTTAATTCTAGAATAGAGATGAAGACTAATGAATCCCGCGCTACAAATATTGGTTTGGACGACACAGTAAAGCGTCTTCAAATTAGACCCAATTTTGGTTAAAAAAATTATGATGATTATATCTTATCTTAATTACAGCCTACTGTTGGTAGTGATAAAATTCCAGTAGAATGTTTGAACTCAAAATGGAGCTTAGCTTTATTTAATGTAATATAATGCGGATTTTTTACGACATTCGTCGTCTCCCGTTTCTCAACTTCTTTCAGCTTTCGGTCTGTCCAGTCTTCTTCCTATAGGCCCCTTGAATTCATAGCACCAACTACACCCTCTTGTATCTTCTTTAATTTTATAAGCTTTGCATTGATATAATAGATTAAAATAAAGAAATAAATGGAAAAACGGATTTTTTCTTTCAGTTATATGTTTTTGTTCTTGCACTGTTTTTCTTTCGTGCAAAAGATTAACAACCCTGTAACAGATTAGTTTCGATCCATTTCAAAAGTAGGATGCTTAGCTTAGGGCTTTTCACCTTTGGAAAATCTCGCCCACGAAGATGCGCTGGTGCAGAAAGGTACAGCTTGATCTACTTAAAGTTTAAACTGGATTTTCATCCTGGCTTTGTTATTAAGGATAAGTCGATTCTTTTTTCGAAAAATATTAAAATTCATATATATTTAATTCACCTTGAAAATTTAATGCTGCTTCATTTTTTATTAGCGAGTATAATTTTGCAGTTTAATTTCTCATTTCCTTTAGAAATATTTATGATTCTTTTGAGTACGTTTTCGGCCTGATTTTAGGGAACTAAAATAATTTATTTATAATGAATGTTTAAATCTCAGACAGGCTATCTCATCAGTTTCTAGAATATGATCGATAAAAAGTAATTAAATCTTCGAAGTTAACTGAATTGAATCCTGAAGTTTTAATATTTTATTTAGCAAAATATTTTTACAAGATTCTACAGTATGTCCCCGGATTGTCTTTACAAGAGGAAATTTTTATTTTATTATTGACATTTAAAAAAAATATTCGCAAACATTTTTGCTTGTTCTAAAAATGGTTAATCACATTTATAGTTTTCCAAATATCCATTCCGTTTTAGAGAAATTTAAGAAAAACAAGAAAATGTAGTTGAATAATGAAGTCCCAAAAATTCTATGGTAATATAATTTCGATTTCATTCTTGGATAAATCGTTATAATTAATTTTGGTTAACGTCACATTTTTTAAAGTTGTTAAAGTATCACATTTTCCAATAACTATTAGGTATCACCCTTTCCGTACCATTGAACTAAATAAATTGTGTGCTTCTTTAAAATTTTATAACGGCAAAAAATACGACTTTAATTAAAATTCTGTCAATAATAATCTATCAAATAATGACAACGAAATTATATTACCATAGAAACGCGTTTTGATTTTTAGGACTTCAAAAATAAAAAATTCAATTATTTTCTCTAAAACGCTATGGAAATTTTGAAAAGTATAGACGGGATTAACCATTTTAGAACAAGCTAAAATTTTTATGAAGAATGTATTTTTCTCAAAATGTCAATAATAAAAAGGTTTTTACTCCTGTAAAAAAGACAATCCGGGGACATACTGTATATAACTGAATAACAATGAACTATATGAGCGCAATCAAGAGAATAATATACAAGGAAGACTATGATAATATAGTGATGGTGATGATGATAATGATTACAGTGATGATGATGTTGATGATTATGATAAATATGACTGAATAACAATGAACTATATGAGCGCAATCAAGAGAATAATATACAAGGAAGACTATGATAATATAGTGATGGTGATGATGATAATGATTACAGTGATAATGATGTTGATGATTATGATGATGATGAAAATTACAAGATCCACTAAGTATGAATTTATGAATAACTCACACTTAGCTCTGTTACGAACTACAGCTCTATAGTTCTTTCCATTCCTGAAACTTAAAACCTACTTTTAGCAAAGCTTTATACAACGGTGAGTTTTTGTTATATCAAACACACATAAAAAATTCACCTGCACAATTAGACATACCATATGGTAATTTGTTTCGGTCTTTATTATATTGCAAATATTTAAATATTTTGATTACTATTTATTATCTATTGATAAAAGTCTGCAGTTCGTGAACAGCGACATCTGACAGTGTTGTTTGGGATCATTGTTAAATGTTAAATCTAGAATATAAATTACTTGGTCCCGAAACGAAATAAAATCATGTTAGATTTTTTATATAAGACTGTTTTTATGTTGTTGCTATATATAGCTGGTTGGCAAGGTTTGATTTGAATCCCCTATTAGCTCAGTCCCACCTCCCTTTTCTAAGACCCTTTAATTTGGCTTCTAGAGGGCAGATAATTAAGGCATGTCACAGTTTCAATAGAATTGATTACGCAGGTTTTAGCAGGAAAAGTAGTCTTTAAGTTTCCGACAACGTATTATGTGGGAATATTTTTGACAAGATGGATTTTCGCCTACGTATATTATTAACTAGCTATGGAAAATTATATGTATAAGTCAAGAAAATATATCAATTAAAATTACAATACCTTTGTGTCTGATAAGACAAAAATATATTCTTTATTTTGATTTTGATTTCCTTTAAATATTAAAACAAACGGCTTAATCCAAGATTATTTCTTGGATTCAGAACTTGCTTCTATATTCAGAACAATTTAGTATATTATAAATTCGTCTATAAGACAATATATTCTTTATTTTGATTTTGATTTCCTTTAAATATTAAAACAAATGGTCTAATCCAAGATTATTTCTTGGATTCAGAACTTGCTTCGATTCAGAACAATTTAGTATATTATAAATTCGTCTATGTAAAATAAAACCAACTCTGTATAACAATGACGGTATCTATACACAACCTCACAAGGGTCTTCGTTAATTAATAGGGGACGGCATCCCGTATTTAAACCAACAATATCATTTTATACAATATATAGGAAGTTATATGATATTATAATAGGTCTCTACTTTAATATCAATTATTTTGCCCTTTCGTATAAAACTACAATATATATTTTTACGCTTTCATTTTTAGAACCAATAAATTTAAAGATAATAAAATATATATAGGGTCATTTCTGTCAGTAGCTTTTGCGTTTTATTACCATAATTATGCAAGAATAAAATATCTCGGATAACTTTAATAGGACTGTGACAAGGAGTTTTTTTGTTACCTTTTTAACAACATTCAACGTTTTAAGGGTTTAAAATAATTCAACATCAAGATTATTAAATGCTACATTATTAAAATTAAAACGCCATTTCATATATTTGGTGGTTTATTGTGAACACAAATAAAATAACTGTATAAATATACAAATATACACAACACAATATAAAACTTTTGACTTAAGAGTAATAATTGTAAAAAACACATATAAAAAGCAAGACATAGCGTTCAAAATTTTAAAAATACACTATTAACCACTGTACTCTAACTAGACACTTAATTTTATATCAGGGATGAAGTTCTAATACTTATGCAAAGTGTTCGAGATAAAATTTTGCATTTCTTGTAATGTACGAAAATATTTTTTTCAACCTTTGTGATATGAAACTGCATCATCAGTAGGGTTATTAAAAGATATTTTAAATTGATTATTTTGTACAATTCATTCTTTGCCACATAAATTTATGAAATATTCTATTTATTCTTAATTCTAATTTAGACATTATTCAATAAAGTTATAGGGTTAACACTGTTACAATGATAAACAAAATAAAAATGATGATATACCGAATAGATTTAATGTTGTTAATTATATTTTGTCTGTTATAAAAAGGCACTTAATATATTGTTTGGTATGAATATATAGATTACATTGTAATGAAACCTGAAGGAATGTGAGATAATAATTTATATGGAATAATATGAAACCCTATAGGTTTTAAATAGATTTTCCTGATAAAAAGTATGTTAAAACACACAAGAAAACGATTAAGAGCGGACTTGAAGTGAAGGCTATCGATCTTCCAGTGCATCCAGTATTTTCCAGAGTAACCGTGAATTTGATATCATTGGGAAACCGACACAGAGAATCTGAAAACAAAAAGGCTCTGTAGGTAACGTCAAATTGAAGAGAGGCTTTTATTAAATTTTTATTTTTAGAAGGTTGCTTTTTAATTTCCTGAGTGTAATCTCTTGAAAGCTATTATACACTAAAATGAGATATTTTCAAATTATTTCTCTTTAATAAAAATATACTGGGCGAACATTTTCAATCGGAACTCTTAAAGTGTATTCTTACCGGTACATCTGGCGGTAGAACTGACTCCGGAAATAGATAAATATATAGGGGAACATGAACTAGCAGAACTACCACCACAATAGCCTGTGATATCGACGGAATATTCTGATCCACTGATATTTTCACAAGTACTACTCTGATTATCTGGCTTAGTATTGTCTCTGGATAGACAAATGTTTATATTACCATTACTCTGAAAATTTAATATGATTAATATATAGTAGTTACTGGAAAATATTGCATTAAATCATTCAATTTTATTAATTCAAGTACAAAATAAAACACTAAATCATATCGAGACACCGAAACACTTTTAAACACTGAACGCGCGTTTCGCTAACCATGTTAGCATCATCAGCAGATAATTAAAACTTGTTACCATCATCAGCTGATGATGCTAGTGGTTAACGAGACCGCGTCCAGTGTTTAAAAAAGTGTTTTCAAGTGGTTACAATCAATCATTCAATTGGTTAAATCACTCAATTGATTATAATAATTAGGTACACTTTAATTATACAGATAGGTAATAAGTAAAATACTGTTTATTTATTACCTATCGTACTTTTAAATTATATGTCTATGTGTTAATATATACCAGGTGCATCTTAAAAGTGACTCACCCCTATAACTTTTTTTAATTTTTCAGATAAAAAAACGAGATTTGGTGTGTTAGTATATGAACATAAATTAGGATTGATTGGCGTATTCAATTGTTTTCGGTCACTTCCTGTTTCACCGGAAATGACTTCAACTTTTGACTTTTAAATGGCACCCTCAGTATTTTTTTACTTTATGCGATAGAAAATGACACTCTGAATAAAATGGCATATCATATGTCAACTTTTGAATCGTATTTTAAATTTAAATCTAGAGTGCCATGGCTGTATTGAAAATACTAATTTTTAATTAGAGAACCTTGGAAGAATAGATCTGATGGTCTAATGTTTTTCGTGTCTTGTCCTGGCCGGTTAAAAGATGCCAAAATCGTATTTTTAATCATATCTCAATTTTTTTAAATGAAACGAGTATGGCTCAGCATATTTGGAAAAAGCATTTTTTTACGAATAATTTGGTACCACACATTTCATGTTTCGAGTCAAATTATCGTTACATTTATGACTATGGCACTCTAAATTGAAATTTAGAATAGTGTTTTTTTATAATTGAACATGAGAGCATCATTTTTTATCGAATAAATTAAAAAAATACCGAGGGTGCTATTTAAAAATCAAAAGTTGTAGTCATTTCCGGTGAAACAGGAGGTGACCGTTGAGGGTTGAATAATTGAGTAAATTAAAAAATAAACCAATTGAAGTTCGACAATAAAATTTTCAATAAATATTGGCAAAAATTGTATCTATTTATAGTTTGTTTGTAAACAGGTTATTAAAATTTTATTTCTATAATACCATTATATCAGCAAATTATTTTTATTCAAAAATTTATTTACCTGTTCGCGAACTTTTAAATATCTGTTGTCTCCGCCGTAATGGAAATAATTAGGAGAAATCCGATAATAATTGGTGCCCTGCGGCTCAACATATTGTGTTAAGGTAAATGTGCTGGTTCCTCCATTATACTGGGACGTACATGATGGATTAATTACAGCCCTAGGTACTAAAAGAACAATAATATTATTTAATACAAAATATATTCTAAAATAAATATATCTAAACTAGAAATATAATTACTTTCTGTATCTGTATTTTTTATAGGTATGAAAACCTACTAGGCTAAGAATCCGTAGGTTTGTATTGCAGGTTTATACTTAAGATGAAATTTACTTAATAAAAGGAATGTAGAATATATGGGAGAGGGGATTAATCACCGTGACCTTAAGGTGCGTCCAGACTTGAACATTTTAGCCCGAACGAACCAGAACAAACCGAACGCGCAGAGCAGAATTTGCTAAGTCTGGACCTATCTCCGATCGGAACCGAACGTGCCAGACGTTTTCCGGAGCGTGTCGGTAAATCGGAATTGCGCAAAAGGAAGTCTGGACGCACCTTTACAGATCTATTATGTCCCCTTTGTTTCAGTTATAACTTATCATACAGTCTCAGGGGATTGATAAAAAGCAATATCTGAGACGATTTTATAGAGGTAAGTCCTTAATCTCCGATATCAGTCGTACCAAAGTTCACTTGGTACGACTGACTGGCACGAACGGTTAGCTTCAATCTACTGAGGTGTTCGTTGAGGATACAGTGTCCTGTTAAAAACCCCGTGATGATTCAAAGATTGTTATTAATTAAATCAAGGAAAATGTTTGATTTTTCTCGGTGGTAAAATCGGAGAAATTTCATCTGGTTTAGACCGTTGGAGGATTCCCATTCCAGGTTACTGATGGAATCTTCCAGGTTTTTGAGTTCCGGCACATTAAGTTGGTTTCCAATTGGGAAGCAGAACGGTTCTTGTCCAGTTAGTGGTGTCCTCCTTTTCTAGTTAGATTGTTTGTTTTTTCATTGCCTTCTATACGTTTGTGGGCAGCACCCAGAGTAGGAGGACTTTGTAGGACTTGTAGGAATATTTGTCTAATTTGTTCAGCTTCTCTCGACTTTCTTTGACCAACTTCGAATTGATGGTTACTTATGCTGCTTGCATGCCTACCGGATAAGATGGCTATTTCTTGTTTCCAATAGTTTCTATCTAAGATAAGTTGTACGCATCTTTTTTTAATAAAGGCATACGTAAATATACATAAACTACAGAATTATTTAAAATTGGTTTCCGTTTAGATTTAGCCTAGTAGGGTATAGGTTGTTATATAAAAAGTTAGTGGAAAAGATCAACTATTTAAACTCTTCGATCGATTCTATTAATTCTAAACCGAAACGTTCACCTTTTGCTAACATATTATCATCGACAAAATACGATGAAATCAGAAAGTTCGATAATGCCAACCTGATTAGAGAAATGTCTATGTGTAGTGAAAAACTACTTACTACTTTTTATAGTACTAACGACATCCTGTCCGTATGTTTTTAATTGTTCCTCAATTGTCGTTTCCTGGATTATAACAACGTCTCTTTCGGTATTTGACACAACTGTACTGTAATCACCTTGGGAGCCACTTCCGATCACAAGAAAACTCAAATCTAAAATCATATCAATAAATCTACCATGTGGTGCATCGGAAAACGGGACTTAGGAAACTCCATGTTAATTCTGAAAAGACCAAATATTATCTCCCCAGACGATTTTATGCAAAAGATGTATTAGACTTTTTTGAGGAGGCGTTAAAGTTAGTACTAGCCTAGAATTTCGTTTTATTCGGAATCGGCATTTAAATGTTATTTGCTAAAATAACATTTAAATGTAGACTTTATTAGTATGTAAGCCTTTTAAAACCACACAACTAAATCCCTTTCCGAATAAAACAAAATTCTAGACGAAAGTACAACTTTAACGTCTCATCAAAAAAGTCTAAACAACTTTTACGTAAAATTATCTGGGGAGATAATATTTGAACTTTTCAAAATTTACGTTGTATTTCCTATATCCCGTGTTCCGGTGCACCACACGGTGTAACAATCTGACAAATATTCTTTAATTTTTATTCATAAAAAAATTTAAATTCATAACAAAAATTAACCATTTTGTTTTACTTATTCGAGCACGTTACAGACAATTATTGATTTTGTTATATTTACGACATACACACATTTACATAAGAAAAGTATTCCAAGAGATGTGTGAACCCTTTTGTTTTGTAAAGTGTCTGTAACAGGGAGAGAATTTAATATTATAAGTATATTTGATGAAAAGTATTAAGAGTTTTAGAAGATTTAATGAAATGCTAAATCCTCCGCAAACTAAGTGGGAAATTCTCAAGTGTTGACATTAGAGAAGTGGTAGAGCCTAAAGATATAAACGGAGAAATCTTTGTAGATTTAATAACCATATCGAACGGATTATCTTTTCACATGATAATTTACATACTGTTTTATATAAAAATAATATTAAAAATAGAATATAGATATTTTAAAATTTGTACTATTTATTTTGAAAATAAAATTGTTGAGGAATTTTTAATAGAACAGAGTTAATATAAAATTAACAGTGTTTCTAAAAAATATCCTTGACATTTGCACTGAAATAGTAAGAACTTATATCATTTTTCTTGTTGTTACTTACGTGGTAAATACTGATTTATAACCGGTCTTCTGCCAGATATATAGTTTTGTTGCTCGGAATTTGGCGCTGTACGAGTTACAAATAAAACTATGGTTGACTCTCCACCAGCATAAGAGTTATTATTAAGTTGACCATTTCCTATTGCTTCTATCTTCTGAAATATGCTGATATAATCGAAACCAGTTGTTTCTGTATCCGATAAAAAAATAACGAAAATATAATCTTTTTATGAAAGGGTAAATAGAACTGTTTGTGATATTACCGTTGCTGTGTACCGATTGGTTGTATTGTAGATAAAAATCAGACAGGTAGTAGGTCTGATTTACTGTATTATTCAAAGTGCTTCCTCCGTATATAGAATATCTTGTTCCAAATTTGTTTACGTCGATGTTATTTAATATATACCTAAATTAAATAAATATATCAAAAATTTCTCGATTTTCTCCAGGTACCTAAAAGAGCGATGAGGTAAAAGACTGAATAAAAATTAATACATTTTATTTGCCTCATCGCTCCTAAAAGGGCGATCGAGAAAAATTAATCTAAAAATGTGTTCTACAAGAAATAATTATCATACAAAATAGTACTTACGATAAAATTGATTGAACTGTAGCATACGTCCAACTAGAATCGATAAATATATGTAAATCAGTAGCAACCCTATTAATATACTGGTTTCCAGTGCAAGAGAAATCCGAAGTGGCTAAACTGGCTAAAACATAATTTTACATAATTATTTTACTCCCTTTTAAATTAAGTTGGAATATAAATAACTTACGCAAATAAGAGTTTAACGCTGGTATTGCTGATGCGGATAAAGTAGAATAAGAATTATTAACAAAAGTTAATCCTGAAATAGCTCCTGTGGGAAGATACGGCATAAAACTAAGCAACTGATCGTTTAACGTATCCTGTGATACTAACTCGGTGAAAAGTATGTTTCTATTGCAAGCTTTTAAAGAATCTTCTAACACCCCTTTCTCATAAGGCGAATAGTACATGTCAATAATTTGCGATATTTTTAAATCAGTGAATGTACTAGTCCAGGAATCCATTCTTAATGCCATGTACAATCCGTCAAGAGCACCTCGAAGCTCAGCGTCGGTTGCTTGTAAATTGTTATTGCTTTGCAAGAAGAAATATTTCGGATTGATTGTACTGTTCCATCCTCCAGAAGCACCAAGAGATATATTAGGTTGTACTTGGTATGCTGCAGCTTCGGCCAATTCACCTTAAAAAAAGTACAGAACACATTAAGTCAAAAATTTCTAAATAGTAGGTACACTATACACACCCACGAGAGTAGCAGCATATCTATTATCAACCACATTATTGACAGTTTGTTGGTTCAAACCAGCAGCAATTCCAGCAAGCACATCTCCGGTTTTGATAGCTCCAAACTGAGAGTACGTAACACCCAATTCAATAGGACACTGACTAGTATTACTAGACAGTTGTTCAATAACTCCACCAACTCCAAAGGTATTTGGTATAGGTTCCGCGTCAGGATTTGATTCTTCTTCTTCCCCATCACGCTTTCTGCGTGATCTTGAAGTGTATCTAGCTGATCTAGCACATTCTGATTGTTCGTTTAGTCTTTTGTAGTCATCAATTGTATTAGATATCATGTAGTGGAGGGAACACTAAAATAACCGTTATATAAAGTGGTGTTAATAAATAAAGCTAATGACTAAATACTTTTTGTATGGCATTTAATTCTCCATATTGCAAAGATGTTTCAGGAACAGGTAAAAGCTGTACAACTAAACTTTGGAACTTGTGTGATTCTACGCGACTGGCTGCATATGGTATTGCTAGTGTTTCGTCAACTATCCGGTTTATCCAGGCTATTCCATCTTGACGCAATCTGAAATATTACCAAGAAAACTTAAGATAGAATAATATTCCTTTGCTTTCTCCAAAAAGAAACAAATTTCTTCCTTTAAGACAAATTAACCGACCAAAATAAAAAAATATCTGGTTTATTTGTCTCTTAATTCTTAACTGCCAAGTAAAGTTTAGAATTGTTTACCAATCAGCCCAAAAAAAAATATTTGATTTTGTATCTAGCAAATTACTACAATATTGGATTAATACAAATTGCCTCACCTTTGAATTATTTGTACTGATAATTGCCTCGCATTCATCGTAGGATTTGCATCTTCCAATTTTCTAATATACTCAATCAATAAGTTCAATGATGAAGGAGGTCTTACATTTGCCACAGTTATACCAGGCAATGCGGTATTATTATAACATTCTCTAAGTTCTGGCGCTACACTACTTCCTTTAATGAAAAAAGTATGTTTGTATTAAAAATAACACCAGATATAGAATCACTAACAAGTTTGTGTGCTTTGGATTGTAAACCCAGATGCTTTTACAAAAATAAACATTGTATTTTCTAGATTTCTGTTTTAGTCCAGTAACACCCAGTTTTAGTCCAATCACACTGTTTCCAAGTATATATTTATTGCAATGAAACATTAAGTTCTATTTTATTTTGTAAAATAATAATATAATATTTATATATTTATGGTTTTGTTTTTTATATTTGTTAATAAAATGTAAAAATTACCTGCATTATATTGACTAGATACTGGATTCCATACTAGAAAGTAATATGTGAAAAATAGCACTTGTTTCTTCATTCTTAGCAATATTGTTTAAATCTGAAACACTTATAAATATAAAATATATGTATATAGCCTTGCCATATTGGTTTAACTAAATAAAATCCTGAGTTTTTTAAATTATTTTGACTTTCCTTGAAAATGTATATTAAGTATATATAAAAATCAATTCTACCCGCTCTAAAACTTAGCATAGTTACGCCACTGCGTTTGTATGTATTATGATAAGATAAAAATAATATACCTCTAAGTACTCTTGCCTCAGGTTATTATTATTTTATAAATAATATAATATATCAATTTGGTAGATATTTTTGAAAAAAAAATACTACAAAGGATGGCACAACAATTAACTGAGGATAGAATTTAAAAAAAATATTATTTATTGTGGCCATTATCTTAGGTGGGTTCTAATGAAGTATTTATCAGATAAAAAGAATTATTTATGATTAGATCATCATTTCCTCGCGTATTTAATTTTTTTTTAATGATTTACAGTGTGTTGAAATTCTTCGATTAGATGTGAGTCATAAACAAGACGTCTTTAATTACTAATAAGTCAAAAAATCCATTTAGAATCTTGATTACGAATATCGCAGAAACGCCAGTTCCGTCATTTTTAACATTTCTTAAAACCTCGTTACGAGAACAATAATAATTATTATTTTTTATTCATGTATTCAATACGGAAATTGTTATTATTGAAATTATACATTACACATACACTCAGACAAAACTGCATTGTTTATAAAACGATACTTATTAAAAGACGTGTGCTTATGTTGCTTTGTTTAGGATGATCAAATGCAATTGTGCACTACTAGACTCGCACATTAAATAAATTTATAGGCATAATTTCAATTCATTACAAATTCTTCAAACTACTTCAGTACGGTCTGATAAGGAAAACGAATGAGAAAGCTTAGAAAGAGAACTAAAAGGCTTTATAAATAATTATTAAAAGTAAGAGTAAAAATATGGAGAAATTACTACATACCTGTTGGCGTATCATCACTAAATACATGCCAAATAGACTTCACCTATTTTTGATAAGATAAAATTGTTAGATTAGTGAGATATCGAACGGGTTTAAATACGAGGTGTTTCATTTGTGATTCAGACAAGCTTATCTTTTATTGAAAACATTAATGAAAACCAAAACAGAACATACAGGAAGAAAATGCATAATATACAGTAGGGTGGCACCAAAAAAAATAATATTTTTTTTTCTTTTTAGTTACCCTGAAAATCTTGCAAAGTTTGAGCTTTTAATATCAATATTAAGAGGTGCCTCATCGTTATTTTTATTTCCCATTTAAATAACAGGGAGAAACAATTTTTATTTTTTGGAATTTTATTGCGTTCTAACAAATCAGCGTTTGGTAAAAATCAATAGATATTCTTGTAGGAAATTGAACGGCCTTCAAAAAGTTCTATATGAATTTTCATTTAATCGACTCGTTTGAAAGTTATTGAAGGTTAAAATTCAACTTCAAATCGTATATTATGATAACTTCCAGAATTTTTTATATTTTATCACGAAATATTGGCTGAAACACATAAAATATCATATTTTATGTTTTTTCGTGAGAAAATATAAAAAATTGTGGTGAAAAAGGTATCATATTACGATTTGAAGTTGACCTTTAACCTTCAATAACTTTCAAACGAGTCGATTAAATGAAAATTCATATCAGAGCTTTTTTGAAGACCGTTTAATTTTTTCCTACCAGAATATGTATTAATTTTTACAAAACGCTGATTTGTTAGACCGCAATAAAATTCTAAAGAAAAAAGAAATGTTTCTCCGTGTTATTTAAAAGAGAAATAAAAAATCACGACGAGGCATCTCTTAATAGCTCTTATATTAAAAGCTCAACTTTACCAGAAAAAGTAAAAAAATATTTTTTTTGTGCACTTTAATATACAGGGTGGTCCGAATTGTATTCGGGAAACTTCGGCAGCATAATCTGCAGTTAAAAATAAGTAAAACAGTTCTATAAATTTATGTTCTAAAATGCTTCGTTTTGGGGATAAAAGGTGTTGAATTTTCATTTTTATTTCGATTTAAAAAAAAAAAGAAAATATTTGGATGAAAATTGGTGTTTGGGTGTTTTATGACATGAAAAATTTGATTACGATATCAATATGACTCCTACTTGTAGGGGACGCCACCTATGTATTTTTTAACTGGTTTGAAGAGTAACAACTGTTCGTCCGTACCTGTATAAAACTACTGAGTGACAAATGCATTATTATATTTCCGACATTTTTTACGTAAAAGAGGCCTCTTGATAAAAGTCGCTACGAGTAACCGTTTATCAACATATTTGGAAAGGAAATTATCAAAACATGCATGGGCCAAAAATAAATAATATATATAATAATTGTAATCTGGAAACTTTTTTTTAAATTAATCCTATCTAGAAAAAATTATTATGAAACAGTTTCTGTTAAGAAAAACATTTCAAATTTATGATTTCTAATTTTCCAGAATACAAGTATTTATTCCACTCTGTATACAACTCACAATTCCATACATACATTTAAAAAAGTTAAGATGGTTATGAAAACAATATAATTTCTTAAATTTAAATCTAATGAGTGGATCAGAACGTCAACAGTTAATAAACAGTTTTTTTAATTCCTTTTAATTTTGCCAACGACTGCCCCAAATGTCGTTAAATGCTGTTCGTTGACAACTAAAATCCTAAGAGAATCTGTGTTGCAATTTTATTGGATTCTACTGCAGTGGCTTTTAGAAAAACAACTTTTTTATTTTTTAGATTGCTGTTTCAGTGCGCCACAAAGGTATATACTATATATGATATAGCTTAGTTATATTACTAAAACATATATTTACAAAAAAATTGTACACGACATGTTAATATACACTCTTAGGTATTTTTTGTATATGGGAACTGCTATTTTCTTCGGGGCTAATGAGGTTTTCCTGTTCGTCCAGGGGGATTTTCGTTTTTCTGTTTAGACTTTTCAATTTCGACTTTTCCTTGAGCAGTTCGCTAACTTTCCGTCCGAATGCGATTCTGCCATGCTTCTGAGCATTAAACTCGAATGCTTGCGCCAGATCTGCGTTTATGTCTCTCAGCGGCGTGTCTCCTGGTCTTATAAAAACAGGAACTATTCCAGGTATAGCCGGATACGGATTGTACAATCTGGAACTGGGAGCGCTATCTGAAAGTTATTTATTTATTTATTTAAAGGTCCAGTGCTCGATACCATATCGTCGGTAAAATGTGTTAAACTGCTAACTCCATTATTCATGATTTTAGAGGTACAGAAAAAAATAGAATAGGGTTATAGCTCAGTCATTGGGGATTTTTGCTTGGAAAAAAGTCCGGAAGTTTTGCAACTTTGCAGGTTTATAGGTTTTGGGGTCCCTAACTAAAATCCATAAAATGCACATTTCCAGTCTTGCCGCCGGCGCCGCCATCTTGCCAAGATGGCGCCCAAAATCGGTATTTTGTGAATATCTCGAAAACTATGCGTTTTTCGCGAAAATTTGAGGAGAGCAAAATTAAAGAGAATAAAATTTCCTATAAAAAAGGTTTTATGAAAATTTTCGCTAAAGTCAACCGTTTAGGCACAAAATCCCTGGAAATGTTACAATTTTGCGTAAAATTTGATATATTATGTATAGTCGATTTTCCGAAATCAAATGTCGATTAGGGTTCACTAAAACTAGTTTTAGTTTAGTTTCTTCAATTTTGTTATAAAACAGTGGCGTATCATTAATTCGCTCATTAATTTATAAATAATTAATTTTAATTATTGAAAATGTCTACTTGTTTCCACACCACCCAAGAGGTAAAGTATATGGTCTCCCCGGAAGCCTACTCCACTAGATAATTTAAAAACTTTAACTTATCTGCACAAGCCCGACGGATCTGGCTCATTTATGTCAAAGTCGATCGTGTCTGCTGTGCTGGTCTCATCAGGGGGTCTCTCAATACGTCCAACTCTTCATCTTCAGCCGCCAGAGGGATAGGCAAGTCCAACTCCTCTTCATCGGATTCGTTGAGTGACACTTCAGTGACGTCACAGGATTTCCCATTGCAGTATGCACAAATCATTGAACATTTTAATCCTGCTTTTGTGTATCCACAGGCTTTACCATAGTTGTTGGTTTTGCATTTACAGGATAAAAATGCCAAGGGATTTTAGAGCTGGATTTTTCAACGTTGCGACTGGAGTAATGCCTGTTTTTGTTTTCTTCCAACCCGATTCTTCGGCATCTTTGGTACAACCAGACCAATGCTGAACCTGGTGGTAAGTTCGCAATGAATGCTGTCCAGCACGACAATTAATTATTCATAAATTAATGAGCGAATTAATGATGCGCCACTGTTTCATGACAAAATTGAAGAAACTAAACTAAAACTAGTTTTAGTGAACCCTAATCGATATTTGATTTCGGAAAATCGACTATACATAATATATCATATTCATTGCAAAATTGTAAAATTTCCAGGGATTTTGTGTCTAAACGGTTGACTTTAACGAACATTTTCATAAAACCTTTTTTATAGGAAATTTTATTCTATTTAATTTTACTCTCCTCAAATTTTCGCCAAAAACGCATAGTTTTCGAGATATTCACAAAATACCGATTTTGGGCGCCATCTTGGCAAGATGGCGGCGCCGGCGGCAAATCTGGAAATGTGCATTTTATGGATTTTAGTTAGAAACCCCAAAACCTATAAACCTGCAAAGTTTCAAAACTTCCGGACTTTTTTCCAAGCAGGCCCCTTTTTTGATCCCCAATGACTGAACTATTATTTTATGTACCGGGTGTCCACTGTTTCTCATAAACTACTTATCGTATAACTTTGTAAAAAAATATTATAATAAATAAATCGGCCAAGAGAAATAGCTAGAAATTATATTGAAGCTCTAAAAATATCCGCTAGGAGGCGCATTTGTGATGGCCAATCAGAAAACAGAGTTTTTCTCAAAAGTACGCACGTGAGGATATATTTTAAATAACGCTATGGTAGCCAATGGAAAATTTGTATTTTTTAATATAGCGTATTTTTCTCTATCTCATAAAATAAAGTGGTAAGGGAAGGTTAAACTTTTACTGGTCTTTATAAGATATTGAAGGAATAAAAAACGGATTTTTTTTTTCATACAAAAATTCTGCATTACACTTGTTTCATAAAAATTAAAAACTGCTATGTTACTCTAACTCCCTTACAGTGCAAAGAAAGCGCATAATTAACAATAAATTTAACTTATTTTGCCTAGTTTTAGATAAAATAAATTATTTTCAGTTGTCAAGTATATACCTATTCATATTTTAATATTTTGTGATATACTACTATTGCATTTTAATCTGTTTAGAGCACCTAAAACTTTATTACAACATTTCATGAGAATAATTTCACAGCATATTTATTATATGCCGCAAACTAAAACGAAATAATTTTATTAAAAAAATAGCGTTATATTTCATTATTTAATTTAATTAAATCCCTTAGAAATTTGTGTCAAAAGTGATTTAAATTTTTTTTTTATATTTTTTTGTATTTTTACTTGAACATGAACATAAATAACTTAACGTAGGTTAAGAACATTTCTTTATAAATCTAAAGCCAATGTTTATAGTGGGCTTTTGGTACTTTGACATGACGTTTGGGAAAATCAGTGTGAATCGCTACTTATGAGCTTTATAAGCTTAATAGTACGTTACATACCGACCAGTGATGCTAAAATAACAATTAGAAGAGCCGATGAAAGCTGATGTGGCGCCGGCATTGTAGACAGAACTTAAACGCACAGAACTGAAGAGCTGCACTAACCGACTGGCCGTATATTTCCGAGAGTACCTTTTATAACGGACTAATGATGTCCGCTGGCCGGACCATCGATTAAAATGAAGATTTACTGAAGATCTTCATCTCAGGGTTTAATGTCTTCTCAGTCTTTTTGACATTTCTTTAATATGTAATCAATATCACCTTTACTTCAGGGTACTTTATAAAGGGTGCAATCAGATTTCAAGTATGCCCTTTTAACAACACAACAACTTATAGATAGAGTAATCTTGAAAGTATATCTCCGTTAAAGCACACTATCGTAAGTACCTTGAAATAAATTTATCGTGGCCCTTGCCAACGTTTCAAAGCTATATCTAATTAATCACTGACATATGTCTCGATGTTGAGTCTCAAAATTCGTTTGAAATAAAAAGATAAAGGTAATTTACTAATAAATGTTTGATATTATGAACTGCAATTGCACATATTTCTAATAATATACTGTATAACAATGTTTTAATTGCTGTAATCTTTATTAAAATCAGACGCTGCGCAATCAGCTGAGAGAGTAATTTATCAAAATACACCAAAACGCTTTAGTTTGGACGCACACTTTGCTAACCATGTTAGCATTTAAGTTTAAATCATTAACATCATAATTATTTTAATGCTCGGCAGAACAAAAAATTAAATCTGTCCATCAACATGTTTTTTAATATGAAACATTTATTAGTTATAGCTATTATTACATACTTCATCATTTTAATGTCAAATAACGTCTCAACTCTGGAGAATATATCAAGGTAGCTGATTCTGAATTAATGAGGGTTTAATAAAGTGTCATATTTTGCCTATATTTTCCTAATTGTTTTCTATTCTTGGATTAAATTTAATTTAACTAATTTAGCCTGGATATTGAAAGGTTCGATTACCAATAAATTTACAAGCCTATATCTAATTATTTTCCGACATTGTAATATGAAACTGGCGCACACGTCTGTGCTTGATTTTTGAGGAGTTGAAGGATTGTAATTATATACTCAATTATTATTGAAGGTATTTTTGGTCTTAAACGAATTTCCAACGTAGTTTTTATTAAGTATATATATTTCAGACATCCGCTCAAAACTAGGCAGTGTTGTCCTGTCAATTTCCAATGATGAAGCATCATTTAAAACTTTTTTCAAGCATGTAATAGAAGGTGGTTCGCATCACCGATGCTTTTAAACGTCTAGCTATTTCAACTTCCCGTTATAGGTATTTTCTGCATGACTAACAGGTCGAAACCTTCACGTTAATAGAAATTTAAACCTCTTTCCGTCATCTGTCATTTTTTAGACATCATGATTGATCCTTACATGCAGTCGAATGAATATCGAATAGTGGAAGGTGAGTCACTATTTGATTTGTTTTAATAAAGAAACATAATGTAAAAAGAAAACACGAAATATATTTGTCAAAATAACAACACACTGACAAGAGGATGAGGTTGATTAAGATTATCATAAATGACTAATAGACCCTGATAAGATACCTTGAATTAGATAAAGCAAAGAAGGTAATCCATTTTGGGAAAAAATGTATTAGGTAAATATTTGATAAATTTAGCCCTAGTACATTTCACATATATATTTTGATTAGTTTGTTTATTTAGATTAAATTTATGCCGCATTAGTAGCTATTATTTGTAATTTTGCTGATAAATTGGTCATAATTGTAATGGCATATTACTATAACGAATGTATTGTATCTTTAAATTAATTATGCATTAAAACGCACCACAAAAATTATTTGGCATATTAATGTCAATATGGTTAGAGACATACAGGGTGTTTCAAAAAACATGTGCCATCTCTCGTGGGGAGATTCCTCATGTAAGAATAAGATTTATTTCTCATATCAACGTAGGTCCGATTCTGCTTTGTTTCGTAGCTATAGGATGTCTTTTTTTTCGATTTATTATAATTGCTTTGCGATTTAACACCCTGTAGCTGTAGCTATGAACCAAAACGGAATCGGATCTATGTTGATATTAAAAATAAATTTTATTTTTCGAGAGAGATGGCATATGTTTCTTGAAACAACCTCTATTTTGTTTTCTGTATTGCTTGCTCATATCTGTTTTTATTGGTATTATAACGTTTTGTTATAATTTGTTATAAGAAACCGACCTGACTCATCTCCATCAAAGGGCAAGAGAGGGAGCGAGAATCTTTCACCTCTTCTCCGGCAGGGAGTGAAAAAACCCAGGATGGAAAGCCGTCCAATACCGGGAGACAAGCAGGGACGTATCACCAGCTTTGCCGCTATTGCTGGACAAATGAAAATGGCGGTGCTGCCAAAGGATTTCCCAGAGGTTCCTCTGACCACCTACCAGCAAACGTCTCTAGAAGAGGCTATACTGGACGAAGTAGTGGCGATCGGATCGCAACACAACGATCTACAAGTGGCGGCCATCACGGACTGAGGAGCAAGGGGAAAAACACCACCTACCTGCTGAGTCTTATCCAGGCTCAGAACTTCAATGTAAGGACATCGAGTTGGCGATCATCAAATCGAGGGAGGAGGGTGATGGTCAAGTCCTCACAATAGGAATTGAGCTCAAATCCAAGAAGGCAATAGAGAAAGAGAGACACATCCTCTATTATAGAAACGGGACAACACCGGTATCAGGCCTAAGGAGAGAGCAAGTTAAAGAGATGGAGAAAATGGAGACAGATCCTCCAGCCTACACCTCACGGGTACTTCAGCCGGAGGCAAGCTCCTCGACTGTGAAGGGCATGGAGGGCCAAACTCTAACCATGGAAGGGTGTGTACCCTCGGAGGAAGAACATCTGTTGTCAGCGGAGAATGGGAAATACCCTGTCCCCTCTACAACAGGGGTATGATGGGTTATAGACTGTGTGATGAGTTATAACTCAAGGAAGGGGGCGGAATAGATCTTTAAGGTCGCAGTGATTATATAATCCCCCTTCTCGCTCATTCTACATTCTATAATGGCTCACTTCAGAAAATGAAAATTTGGTGTGTGGATGCGAAAGGCCCTAATCAAAAAAATGTAGAGATGCGATGATACAGCAAACAATTATTATACCCTTGCAGGTTTGAACTCTGTAGTTGTAATTAGATAATTACAACTTAGTTGTAATTATTAATTTAGATAATTTAGGCTTACCGATAATCTGATATGACCACGGAAAAAGATGTAAGAAGTTTAATTGGTTTCTTTCGCAAGTCAACCCTAGAACTATTAAACTGAACAACATATGAAACAGTGTTATTTTTCCAACTAACAAATAATTATAGAACAGGGTTACAACACAGGGAACATAAGTTACTATTTTACTAATCAGTTGCTTCCAATCTAGTAAATAACAAACTGTTTTATTAATTTATGATTAAAATATATTTATAATAAGAAAAAAATAAAAACAACAATACAACTCTGATTAAGTATTATCGAATAAATAAAAACGTACCCGGCTTCCATTGTGTGCTTGTCAAATTATGTTTGATTATTACCTTAGCATAAACACCAATAAATTGCTTTAAAATATACAGTGATTAAGCAGGTTTCTTCGATTTCAATTGTTACGTGCAACTTAGGTCCTCGATATTTTTTGGCTCACACTGTCTAGACTTAATTTTAATAAACGTACTTTGTAACGTTATTAGCGAAACATCTTCCTCTTGATATGTTAAAATTCGTCAGCGATTGTCGGATCAGGCGAGAAAGCTTTTTGATGGTATAACTGGTTTTTCCATACGGATTTAGTAAAATTTATTTTTGTTATTAATGACTTCTAGTACTGTTCGCTGTTTTCGAAAAATGTCATTTGTTTTTAGTAGTTAACTGTTACGACATGAAAAGTTTCGTATTTGTGTCAGTTTGTATTTTCAGTATATTCACTGGTAAGTTTTTGTTTTTTAATTATTCCATTTATGTTCTATTTTTTAAAGCAATTAAACCATTGCAAAGGGTAGAAAGAAGTAGTATTAAGAAATTAGCATGAATTAACAAAGAATAATTTCATATATATATATATATATATATATATATATATATATATATATATATATATATATATATATATATATATATATATATATATATATATATATATATATATATATATATATATATATATATATATATATATATATATATATAGGTAGTGTGATAACGACAACAGACTTTTAAAATGATGAATGTATCGTCAGTACTTATTGTTTATGTACTAAAATGAAGTTTTTTTAATATGGCATGTTAATGTAGAGATTAGAAATTAAGCATTAATGATACATTCACATTTTAGTTAAAGATGTAATATATTAATTGCTGTATTTTAAATTAAATTTGAACAATTTATATATTTTTGATAATTCTTGACTTGTTTTTAAAAGGGATGGAATAAGTTGTGAGAAAATAGACTTCTTTTATAGTCATTTATTTTTATTTCTATACACTTTTAAAGTAATTGCACTAATGCTACAAAAATTAAAATTAGTAGTTGATAACAAAATCTACATATTCAGATATTGAAAACATATAGAATTATAACAGGTTTGATTAAATTTATTTTTTAATTAATTGTTAAATATTAAGAAACAAGAGTATAATTGGAATGAGGAAATAATTGAAAAACTTTTTGTATTACTTTGCTTTTTTTGATATTGATTATTCTTTATTGCGATTTCACCTAACAGAAAAATGTTTCATTGGAAAAAATGAATACTAAGATATAAAGTTGTCCAGGCTCAGAACCTTAGGAGGAAGAACAACTGTTTTCAGAAGAGGATGAGAAATACCCTGTCCCTCCTACAATAGAAAAATCCCTCAATAAAGAGAGACACAATAGGTCTTTACGGTCGTCGTGATTAACCCCCCTCCCACTTATTTTAAATTCTACAAAATAAATAGTTCTCCCAATATATTTTATATCAGTTCATATTACTCATTCTGTCTATCTATCATTAAAGTAGAATAAAAGTATAATACAATATACAAGTATGTGATAATGTAGATTCACAGATGTATAGCATCATTCTAGTTTAAATCTACGCTGTTTTTATTAATTACGAGAAAAATTTTTTATGTTATAAATTATTCGATTTTTTATTGCGAAGCGTTGCGTCTAGAAAAAGAATACTGAAATCCGGCAGAATTAAACTGAATAAACATAACGAGGTACACCCCCACAGAGCCCACAATCTGAAAAATCAAAATTAAAACATTTAAATAGAAATTTAATATTTATGATTCGCCTTTTTTCCATAATATTTGACTCACCGTTTGCAGCAGGGCAGCGTTTATCGAAAAAAATCCGCAGGCTGTGAAACTGAATTCTTCATGAAGCAAATGTCTTGAGAAAATGCTTATCTGCAAAAAATATACATTTTTTTAATAGAAGAATTGTTTTATACAGACTAAAGTTAACTTTAATAAATACTAATTTAACATTACCAAGAATGTACTAAACTATGTAGTTTTTATAAGCTCTATTTTGTAGATCTAGGAAAGGTTTATAAATTGTTGATTGTGTGGCATCGTTTCCGCTAAAATTTTGCAATCACATTATTTTATTGCCACTTCTAAAAAGCATTTTTTACTCAATTTTAGAGAATTTGAAAATTTTTATTGTGTTTTAATAGTATTGCGTTGAAAGAAGCAAACTATAAATAAACCCGTTATTTAAAACACAATAAGCAAAATGATAATTAAGTTACGAAAATTGTAATGAAACATTGTTTTCCGCGATATTTGAACAATATACGCTCATGTTGGTTTTTAATTTAAAGCAGATGTCTGAATTTTTACAAGAGACTTTTTGTTAGCCCTTTGATTTCAAACAATGGAACTGTACATTGTCCCTCTGTATTAATTTACTGGCTAATAACGGCATGGGATTTTTATTTACAGACTTTTTCGAACGCATTTTTAAGGCAGAATTGTTCAAAAAAAACTGCAAGATACTAATTCACTTACTAATAGGTGCACACAAAAAAATTTTGAATGAATATATTATAAATTATTTAATATAAAGATGGAAGAATTATACTTAACGGAAAGACAAGTATATTACAACTAATAAGAAGAAATTATAAACTTTGATTTCTTACCCTTTTGTTGATTAAATGTGAAGCTTTAATAGGCACCTTACACAAAATCAATTTTAATTTCTTATATTCTGAAAGAACCATTTGACAAGTTGAACAAAGGAAAATCGCTTGAAATACTGTTTCCATTGAAAATGTGAAAGTTAACATACGCTTTTGGTGAGTTGAGTTTTTCAAAAACTTGTCGTTAACTGACTTTCCTTGAATCAGTAAATAAAAATTACTGAATAAGTCTATTTGTGTATTAACAATTTTTAAACATAAAGGAATGCCGTAGATCTTTTCGTTTAGACGATATATGTCAAGAATCTCATTGAAAATTGTTTGAGTGTTAAAAATCATTCGCTCTTGGATAATCTGATCTCTTGACTTTGGAAGAATATCATAAATATGGTTTAAATTTTTATTAAGGACAGAAAGCATATGTTTCATTATAAACATATGCGTACAAAATGTCACTATATATATGTCATTAATTTTCGATGGAAAGTACGAAATTACCCATACTCGAAAGCATTTTGCTAATGATTCCTCGCATTCCCACAAATTGTATAATAAGAATATACTCCAGCCTAACACCATAAAACCGAATAAACCAAAAAATATTCTATTCAAACATTTGTAATTCTTCCAAATACCAAGTTGTCTTATAGTACCTTCCAAATGGTCTAAGTTCCTTCTTAAGAGATATAAATCTTTCTGGAAGTACATAGTGCAACCTATGACTCCTAAAGCAGCTACAGCAACACTCAATGTGCTAATGAATTCAGCGATACCACTTAAAGTATCCTTTTGAAAAGAAGTCTTATAAAATCCCCAATATAACCATCCTGTAGTCATCGTACTACAGAGCAAAATATAAACAATACAAAATAGTAAGCCCCAAGAAACTTTTAATTTTATTTCGTATAAATGATGGCACTGGCAAAACAACAGACACAGAAGCCAACAAGGCAAAAATGTTTTTCGATAACCTTTCAACGAGATTATGTCTAGAAATGCCATTATTCCAGGCGACTACGGTTGTATAATTAAGTAAAACGAATTTCGGACTAACGGTCATTAAAATAAAATAGATTTTCTAACAAGCGCTTCGGCTGAGCTTAATCGAACTATTAAAACACAAAGATTTCTAGATTAAAATAACAGTGACAGGTGACACTATTCAATTCTGCCCTATTTCTTTTCACTTTAATGATGTAGGGCGCATTTATTATTTAATCGTTTGTTGTTTATTATTTATTTGTTAAGTTATGATTGTAACGACAACGAAAATACAAATATATTTTGCTATTAACAAAATACCTTGTTTGAATTTCTCTGAGACCCGAATTAAAACGATGTCACAATAGGCGTAAAAATTACATTGCTTTTTGCACTTTAAACTGGGAGCACAGTAACTATTAGCCGAGTACTACCTCTACCAACTGTCGAGCACACCCGTACCATCCTTTTCTTGAGGTAATTCAACTGCACTTCTAATCCTCTTGTAACTTATTTGGTGGATAATGCAAACATGTTAATTTTCAGTGACCAAGAGGACATACATTAGATATTATATCAGTATATCTAATAGTTATAACTTATAGTTCTTCCCCTAGGAGATGCAAAACTTTGTTGGTGGAGAAGCTCCTAGTCAGGTGCTAGAGAGAATGCCATCTAGCATTTTGGCTGGGTCTAAGCAGAATCTCGCTGTCATGTCCTTGTCTGTAGTGTCGTTGCAATGAAATTATAGGCAATCATAGGAATCATAGGAATCATACCAGGCAACCTCTACTGTCTGTGATCATGTCACATGGCCAGAGGGTGTGGGAAGTCTTGGGTTAAGCATCTGAACCAAGAGGAGACAACCTCACCAAAAACCTAAATCCTACGATGGCGGGACCAGGTCAAAGGGATGCGTGGCTAGATAGAAGACTAGCTTCCACTGGTCTCAACCTTCGAGAAACCAGAGCGCACCCCATTGCATTTACCCTTTATTTCTACATGCGAGACTCCATAGAAGTAGACCGACTAATCCTAGCGAAAACCCCTTAACAACACTGGGAACATTAACTGTGCAAGTTCCAAGGGACCAACCCCAAAGGAAACTACAGAAGAGGCAGCTGACACTTGCGCGAGATCAGCCTCCACAAGTGGCACACAAGCTACCACCTCCTGTAGTAACAGTCGGGAGCCTTCCTCTAGACCTAATACAAGATATCGTTTCCTCTAGCCGGCCTGGGTCAACCAAGCGGGCTAGATAACCCGCAGAGTAGATCTCAGCCGAGCAGGAGTATGGAGATAATTCCGACTGCTCCACGAAGGATTTGCTCAAAAGGAAACAAAAGCAAAAACACTCCTCGCAAAAGGGGAGAGTACAGGAACCAAGAAACAGTCTAGCGCATCTCCATAAAAGGACAAGAGAGATAGCGAGAACCTCTCATCTCACCTCTGCTCTAGCAAGGAGAGAAAAAGCCAGGGTGGAAAGCAGTCCGGAAAAAACACCGGGAGGCAGGCAGGGACGTTTCACCAGCTTTGCCAGAACACCAATAGAACCAAATCCTTCTATTGGTGTCATCAACTCGAGAGAGGAGGGCCATGGTCAGGTCCTCACAACAGGAATTGAGGCAAAATCCAAGGAGGCAAAAGAGAAAGAGAGATATACCCTCTATTATAAATTCAAATAAATAAAGTACGATTCGGGACAACACCGCGGTATCAGGTCCAAGGAGAGACCAAGTTAAAGAGGTGGAGAAAATGGAGACAGATCCTCCAGCCTCCACATCACGGGAACCTCAGCTGGAGACAAGCTCTTCGACTGTGAAGGTCACGGAGAGCTAAACCCCAACCGTAGAAGGGTGTATAATGTATACCCTCGTAAGAGGTAGATGTCCACTCCTCGGAGGATGAACGTCTGTTGTGAGCGAAGGATGGGAAATACGCTGTCCCCCCTACAACAGGAAGGTCCCCGTGCATGATGAGTTATAAACCGTATGATGAGTTATAACTCAAGAAAGGGTGTCACATTAGATCTTTAAGGTCGCGGTGATTAACCTCCTCCCACCGAGTCTCACAAACTTAAAAGAATTATTTGGCCTCTACTCTATAAAGTACGAAATGAAAGAAAAATTTCGTTATTCAATAGATGTAACATAATGATAAATAACTTTAATTAAAAATTAAACAAAAAATTATATATATATATATATATATATATATATATATATATATATATATATATATATATATATATATATATATATATATATATATATATATATATATATATATATATATATATATATATATATATATATATATATATATATATATATATATATATATATATATATATATATATATATATATATATTATTTCTGCCTATATGTATAGATAAATTAACAAAAAAACTAAAAATAATGTACAGAGTATTGAAAATTAGAGACTATAACTAGATTTTCTCAGAAAATTATATTGTTAAATAAAAAAAAAGCTTACCTGTTTTCGTATAAAGGATTTCAGTGGCAATGAACACATAAGCAACAAACACCTTTCAGCTGCTGATTTCACCAGTTCACAAATAGTAGATAACACAAATAATTGAATTATAGGGTACACAGAAAATATCAAAGGAAATAAAAAGTGTACTAAAGTCTTCGGTAGTATGAATTTTTGATTAAGAGTGTATCCAAAAAAGCAATAGAACAATGTTGAAAAAATATTAATAAATTTATTACTGATAATGAATATTATAGGATATGAATAAATTCTGTTGAATTCGATGTATATCTGAAAAATTTCACTGTAAGAGTCGTACACATATTGTAGAATGTTTTCAGCTTTTAAAGGGTTAAATCTCGGAAGTAATTTAAGGGCGTCGTTCAGGTGAAGAATTTTATCATATAATACCAAAACGAAAGTAATATACTGCAACAGAAGAATGTCTCCAATACTTTGAGGGAAATAAATCACAAACCAGTTATTTATACACGATTTTGTAGAACTGTAGCAATGAATGATATTATAAAGAAAAAAAAACCCAATATACAGTATTAGCTTCAATCCAATGTATTGAAATAAAAACAAACTGATTCTTTTATTCGAATGAGTTTTCACAAAAAGTTTTAAAAGACACTCTAGTTTTCTAAATTTATCTAGTATCTGAGAGACGCTATTTCTATAGAGAAACACAGTTATAATTGATACGAGCATACAAGCAATGTTGCTTAATTCTGTTAGTATATCCGCAAATTGAACAATTAAGTTATAGTCACGATTTAGGGGATAATTGAAATTTTCGTAGGATAAATAGAGTACACAACATAGCACAGTCCCGTAATACAAACAAGACCAAACATATCTTATACGTTGACTTTTAACGTTCAAATTCAATCTCATGCCAAAAATATAGCTTAGAAAGAATACCAGATATAAAGATTTAACGATATTTTTCGTAGCCATTTTTATTACTAAACCTCAATGCATAATAGTTATTCTACCTACATTTTAACTTTCCTCCATTAAAACTTTAATGGTTTTTTATTCTTTCTTAATGGGTTTACCTTTACTTACTATAACATTCTAAATAAAAGAAAGATAAATAAAAACATAATACGTATGGATTGATAGGGTTTACATCTACTAAAACATTATCTAAATATTTAAAATGAACATTCGTTTATGTATTACGTAACATGACATTTTGGAAGTTGATCAGTTGATTGAATTAGATATTTGAAATATTTTTTTTCTTTCAGGATATGAGTGTCAAGGGCAAAATCAAGTTCAAGGTAATTACAACATCAATCGCAACAATTTGTTGGGTTTAGCTTCTTCATTACAAAATTTAGCTGGGAATATCTTAACCAACTTACAACAAGGTAATCCAGTTGACATTCAGTTCTCTACTAATTTTGGAGGCAATATTAACGACCAAAATTATCAGAGAAATCAGCAATATCCTTCAAGATATCAACAGACAGGTCTACCAGGTATATTTATAATTATATTTATTGTAGCCAGTGAGTTACTGCTAGTTACAACAATAATTATTAATTACCAAAGTACGTTAAGATAAGTAGTTATATTGCATCATTAATAACCACAGTTAGTAGTGGTAAACTAAGGAATATTTTAATTTACAATTTTTAATTAAAAAACACTTAATCAAATAATCATTGGAATAAACAAACTTTGAGACGCTCGCGAGACCCGTCCACACAGCAAATTTAGAATGCCTCCCGCTCGTCTCGCTCTCGTCTCGTTATGCGTCAGGTCTGTACGCATCTTTATGATGCTCAATAAAAATATTGAATAAATAATATAATGTTTATAATCATGAACATATGAGGTGTTCAGAGGTGAACTGGATCAAGTCCTAGAAGATAATTATGGAGAAAATGAGAGTTAAAATTTTTTAATGTCACTTAATTAAAATAAAACAAGCAGGAGAAGAAAACTTGACGCAATGCTTTATTATATTTTTAATTGCATAATGGCAAACTAAAGTAACTCAAAATACAACTGTGGTCATTTTTAAGAATGTTTGTTTATACTTTTTTGGACTTGAACTATTTTATCTCTGAAAATATTTGAAATTTTAGATATAAATTGGTTCATCAGTACATTCTTCTTCGTCATTTAGGGATTTGTTGACTTCCCATTGTCTATTAATAGTGTTTCCTTAGATTTTTATAAAAATTATGGTATATAGGCGGGATAATGAGAAGTATATAGATCTTTCATGTGTTGCCTTTTAGAGTGTATTACATATTACGTCTATATGAAGATGTTTCTTCCTCGTACAGTTTTATTCAGATCAACAACATGTCTAAGTGTTTGTAAGAAAAACTTATTGATGTGGTAAAAGTGAAAATAATGATAAGTCAAACTATATTCTTTCAGAATCGATCTTTTAGATAAAAAAATGGTTCAGACTTTGTTTAATTGTGATCCCTTTGATCAAAAAAAAAAAATTTTTTTAGCTCTAAACTTTAGCACCTATGTTAAAATCGCGCACAGCGTTAAATTTTATGGACTTGGTCCAGTTCACTTCTGAAAGGAACCAACAGAATATTCAGAAACCTAACAGAAACAGGCTATAGCGGCTTAATGCGTGAATATGACTTTATCTTAAAATAGTAGGAAATTGTACTTGATCCATTTTAATTCTGACCACTCCATATATTGCTGTTTAAAGGAGTTTACTATAGCGAGTAACTTTAACAAAAATAAACCTCTATATATACTGTGAGTCATTTCTCGCCACAGGTCCTCCTGGTTTCCAGCATCCGCGAGGGCCTCCTGGATATGGTCCGCCACCAGGGCCACCCCCAGGACCACCTGGTTATGGTCCACCCCCCGGGCCACCTCCAGGGCCTCCTGGATATGGTCCACCACCAGGACCACCTCCAGGGTCTCCTGGATATGGTCCACCACCAGGACCACCTCCAGGGCCTCCTGGATATGGTCCGCCTCCAGGTCCACCTCCAGGTTACCCTGGCTATGGCCCTGCTGGATATGATCCAAGACCCGGTTTTGGTTTTCCAGGCCATGGCCAACCTGGACCTCCACCGGGGCCTCCTCCTCCTGGTCCGCCACCCCCTGGACCACCACCTCATGGACCACCACCACCTGGACCACCTCCACCACCTGGGTATGGTCCTGTAGGATCACCGCCATTTGGACCACCACCTCATCAGAATCCTCGTCACCCTGGACACGGTCGTCCTGGACAGAATCAGCCACTTCAAAGGCCTGACACTCGAGAAGATGATTCTGACAGGCCAGTATTTGATACAAACGAAGACGAAGATAGACAGAAGATTTCTGGCTATATTAATGGAGACTTTCCTGTAATTTTGCTCGAAAAAAATGAAATCCGGTAACTGGTCTTTTTGAATGAACATTTTGACAGATTTTTTACTTCTTCTATATATTTACCAATAGAAAACATATTATAAATGAAAATATAGATAATTTTTCAAACGATTTTTATTCATTTAGTCTTTTATATTCTTGTAAAATTATGAGTTAGTAATTTCAAGTAAATGGTCCATACAGATTACATGTAGGTACATTCAAATACACCGTTATGGAAAGAACAGGTAAAAATAATTTACTGCATGTGAAGCAATTATTTGTTCCAAAACAATCTGGGTTTTTGCTTTGGGCTTTTGTAACTTACAATACAATTGTGAATAAAGTAATCTATGCGGTGCAGTTTTTGGTTCCTGTTTTGCCTAATATATGCAATATGATCGCAAAAAAAACGGCGTCAGCGATAGCTATGAAATGAAGATCGCTGTCATTTTATATGTAAAATTATATGGGGAATGCAATTGATCGTCATTAATTTCTAAGCCAACTGGACGCCGTTTTTTTTTCTATCATACGGTATAATTGTAATAGTTCTCTCTTAATACTGTACTGACCCAAAAAGTAAATATATTGTATAATTTTATTAAATATCTCTCATACCACAAACTGATGTTTATGTTCGTATGATTTTTCTTTGGTTCTCTTTACTAAATTTATGAAACTATATCTTAAAATAAAATGAGAAATATTAATCTAATGCGTTTATTTATTTCTTCATAATAAATTATGTAACATAATTGAAGTAAACCCATAATGTCACAACCAATACACATACATATTTGTTGTAATTGTTAACATATGTGTAGGTATAGCCATTTCATTTTGTTCAATTAGAAAATATATAGATCTAATAAAATACTATATCAATACAATAAACTTAGAATAATAAATAGCGTATAATCGAGAAAAATCGGCGTCAGCGATGGCTATGAAATTAAGCAGACCACTGTCATTTTATATGTAAATTTATATGGGAAATGTCATCGATCGTCATTTCCCAGCCAACTGGACGCCGTTTTTTTTTCGATCATACGGTACTTAATATAAAAGTATATTATATTAACACAGTAAACAGGTGAGGATACGGTCAAAAAACGCATCAGAGCTGGCTTTGAAATGAAGATCCATGTCATTATTTGTCATCACAGTTTGTCATCAAACTTTACATATGTATATATACGATACAAAACATACAATAGTCATTTCCATGGTAACTTTAAGGAACATACAGGAGTCTAAGGAAAAATTTGAATACCAGTCAAAAATTGTATGCTCTATATATGACTCCAAGTAGGAGGACATAACTACCGACTTTCGCAAATAGATCTACAATTATTATATTATTTTCCAAAGCAGTTAGAAAATTCCATATGTGAAATGTTATCGATCGTCATTCCCCAGCCGCCGCGGCGCAGGTTTTTTTCCATCATACGGTATATAGTTTACGGTAGCTAAACAACTCCAACGGACGGGGGACGTTAGCGATTTAAGTAAAGAAAATAGTAAGTTAGTATTATTGGTTGCCTAATGATGTAGAAGTTATGTAGCACCCTTGTATATGAATTTAAGGGTAGCACTGTGGTAGCACTTATGGAGTGTAGTAGCACTGTAACGCATAATTTTATTTTGCACGACAGTTTGACGTTCAGTGGCGAAAATTTGATAGTAGCCGAGACCCTTGCAAATAAAAATTGACTGTGTATCGACACAAAGTTGCACGAAGGAGTTGTAGTTGCTTTGGTTAGCCTTTTTTGCCTTTTTTGCACAGCTTTTTTGGTTCTGAATTTTTTGTTTTTTGTCTCTTTTAGTGAGTTTTAGACAACCAACAATACACGTGACGTCAAATTGTCGTGCAATAGATTTCCAGTAATTCTATTGGCTGAAACATTCATCTGTCAGAAATTTTATCTGTCAAATTCATCTGTCAGAAATTTTATCTGTCAAATTCATCTGTCAAAAATTTCAGCCAATAGATTTCCAGTAATTCTATTGGCTGAAACATTCATCTGTCAGAAATTTTATCTGTCAAATTCATCTCTCAAAAATTTCAGCCAATAGAATTACTGGAAATCGATTCAAGGTCGTTACGCCGTTACGCCGATACGCCGTTTTTAGGATAGTGTGGCTGCACCCTCATTGGATCTCAATGACTAAACAAGACACTTTATGGTGGGTTCATACAGCCAAATAAAATAAAATAAGAATAAAATAAAATAAAATAAGAAAGTTGGTTATATGGGATACCGTACATGCGTTCATACAGCCAAATAAAATAACAAATAAAATAAGAAGTCTTTATCTTTTAACTTCTTGTTTTATTTTATGTGAAAACGGCTTTGCGCACGCTTAATTCTAACCTACAAATATTTTCAGTTTGGATTTAATTTATTTTATAATTTCACATAAGTAAAATGTATAATATAGTAGGCAACGAATAAATAAATATACTATAAATAGTAAAATTACTATAAACAATCGTAAAAGTTAACTTTTATCCAGCCTCATCGTACTGCGCATGAGCAAATATATATTTCTTATTTTATTTTATTTGACTGTATGAACGCACACAAATAAGAATTCCTTATTTCTTATTTTATTTTATTCTTATTTTATTTTATTTGGCTGTATGAACCCACCATTAGTCATTGGATCTCATATATAATCATAGACTTAAAATAAATAATATATATAATTTGTATATTATAAGTTATCTATGGTCGTGAGTTGACTAGCTGTCTATGAATAAAGCCGGAGTCTCATGCATCCGAAATCCGATGACACGACGATCCGACGGTGCTCCTATTGGTCGAAATATTTTGACAACAATTTTTATCCGATAATTTTAACTAATCATCCGACGTCGTATAAAGTTAAATTTTGTTTAACTTTTGTACGATATCGTGTGTTTTTAACCTCACTTTTTTAAAACATTTGTTTTAAAAACAAGTTTAGTGGGAAGTGGGCAATTTCGGGATATTTGGCGAGGAAGTTATTTTTTATAAGTGTTTCTCCAATAAAACATGACATGAATCTCTATTCAGCGCAGCAGAAAAATGTTAAAACTGTCAAATTTCGGAACGAACTTTCGGATGTATGTGACAGGCTTTTTTTATTTCACACGATAACTTCAAATTTCGGATGTCGTACCATCGGATTTCGGATGCATGAGACTCCGGCTTAAGCCGAATCGGATGATTAGTTAAAATTATCGGATAAAAATTGTTGTCAAAATATTTCGACCAATAGGAGCACCGTCGGATCGTCGTGTCATCGGATTTCGGATGCATGAGACTCCGGCTTTAAGCTGTGACAGAAACGCTCTGCTGATTATCCCGCAATGTATATACCTAGTTAATTATTTTATGGTATATACAACCCGTAATACATACCTCCATGGCTATGCTATATCTATACCCGCCATACCTAGGCAAACCGTTAAACAAAACAAACTGGTGCATCAATGCATTTTTGCAGGTAAGCACAGGTAAGCAATAAGAAATCGATCAAACAAACATCTTTGCAAATACTATCAATATTGTCTACGTGATGATATTTGAGTAATTTTGAATTGATTTTCATTTTTTAGCAGCCACACAGTGAGAAATCAACAAGACAAGAAAAATGTTTTGGTGATTCATTATTTATTCCTGTTTTAAATGAAGACTGACCAATGATATTCTAAATCTAAAATGAAAAATATTATCCTAATATTTTATTTTTATAACATAATATATGGCTTTGAGGATGACCTCATCGGTTGTTTTAAAGACATGCCAAAGAACAGGAGCATATATTTGGCTGAAATCCAAGGAGAAGAGGATTGTATGAATACTTGCTTTAAAAGATATTATAGGTATCAATATTTTATGCCCAGCAAGTTGAAACTATTAACATAAGAAATTTTAGATTTTTTAGTTTTTATAAAGGACACTGTTCTTGTGGAAATTTTCTTGGGGAACAGCTTACAAATACAACTTGTGACTCATATTGTAAAAATAATCAATGCGATGCCTTAACACAACTAACAAATGTATATACAACTGCAAACATGGGTAATGGTTCATATTCTGTAATTGACATAGCATATAAGTAAAATATTCTTTTATTTAGTACCTGGTCCACCTCGTGATCTTAAAATAATAAATATAACAAGTAACAGCATGAGAGTTTATTGGAAAGAACCTGAGTCATATGTTGAAATAACTGGATATGAAGTAAGGGTTGAACCAGTGAAAACTTTTTCACATTATCCTATACAACCAATGGAGTGGTCTTATGGAAACGGCACCTTTCAAAGTGAAATATCAACGCTTCTGTCTGCTACTAAATATAATATAAGTATATATTCCATATATAGTGAAGGAAAAGGAGCTAGTGTAAATAAACTCATAGAAACAAGATTGGCTGGTATGTTGGGTTATACAATAACATCAGTTTTATAGGAAAACCTTTTTTCAGAGCCAGATAATTTACCACCACAACCAGAGATATTAAGCAATGAGGGAGATAAAATAAAAGTCAGGCTAACAGGAACTACAAATAACAATGGCCCTATTACAGCTTACAGAATTATTGTTGTAAAGTCTGATGACAATCAGGCATTTGATAAAGACAGTATATTATCATTTAGTGAAGCGCAGAAAAATGGTTTGAGTTACTATATAGCTGCAGAGATAAAACCAAATGTAAATTAATTTGTTATCTTTGTTATATATTTATAATATATCAGTTGTAGGATATTGAGAGGGATTTTATAGTGGGTGATGGCAGGAGGTATGGATCATTTTACAATGCTCCTCTAGATCCAAGTATTAATTATGATATATTACTTGGATTAGTAAGTTATTTTAATGGTGAAACCAAAGTTGCATACAGTCAGGCTAGTGGATACAGAAATGGCATTTCAATATTAAATGTTTATGATGGAAATAGTCAGGGTATGTGAAGTTTGAGTTGTTGACTGTTTTATGATTAATAAGTATATCTAATAAATATGCACATCAATATGTACATGATATATATTGTTCTACTATAGCAGATAATTTAAGATTTCTAATAATTTAAGGTGTTATTTATGAATCTCAAAAGAAAATCACAATATAGTAATATTTTCACAGGTGATTCCCCTGGTGTTATAATAGGCTTATCAGTTGCCATAGGTTTCCTAACATTCATGTTTATCACAGGCATTATTGGTTTTCTTATATTAAAAAGTAAAATAGTTAACAGACGTCAAAGACTATCTGATAATCAAGAGCTTACTTTACAAGGACCCATGATTGAAGTTGTAAGTCAATTTTATTTTTTGCATAAGATTTCTTAATTATTTTAATTTTAAGGAAAATAATGGGTATATACATGAAGAAGACCACATTTCTGCTGTAAGCCATTACAGGAATCTCAAACAGAAGGTTAGAACTTTATCACCTAGTCAGCTAAAAATCGAACCAACTAATTTACTAGGAGTGGGAAAGTTTGGTAAAGTTAATAGTGGCACTTTACATGAATCTGACATTCTAACCACTGTCACTTGCTATAGTATTTATGACAAAAAGATGAACCAGGAAACTAAGAAAAGTAGATAGAAAATAGTTTAGTCTTTTGTGTTTATAATTAAAATATACTTCATTTTTTAGGTATGTTGCAAGAATTGGATGTGTTAATTAAGACTGGGAAACATGAGAACCTCATTAACCTTATTGGTACATCAGAAACAAGAGAAATGGTGGTTGTAGTTATGGAATATGCATCAATGAATTTAAAAGATTTTCTTTTGGGAAGCCGCGACCATTTTCCTGGAAAATTTAGTAGTATGACGGAAAAACAAGCTTTGGACATTGCTCTAGGAATATGTAAAGGAATGGGACATCTTCATAATTCAAATGTACATAGAATTTTCCACTTTAAAAATTATAGAATATATTTTTTTATGATTGTTATTAGATCTCAATACTTTAATGCACTAAAAACGCCTATATTTTTTTCTAGATTATTCATAAGCAACTTTGTGCTAGAAGTATATTAATAACAAACGACTTAGTCCCAAAAGTAGCAAGTTATGGATTAGCTCAATATTTCAGCCATAATAAAATTCCAGACTATACAAGATGGACAGCGATGGAGGTTTTCAAAGGCAATCAGCATACTATGAAAAGTGATATATGGTCATTTGCTTGTTTGCTATGGGAAATTGTGGCTTTAGGTAAGCAATGGCGGTCTTTTCTTTAATTCTAAAAAGGTAAAAAGCTTGTTTTATTTACAGGTGGAACCCCTTATGGAAATATATCAAGTAATAATGAAGTACCTGCAAATTTAAGCAAAGGTATTCGTTTACCGCAATTGAGTTATGTTAATGATGATTTATACCAAATAATGCTGGACTGTTGGCAGTTGGTGCCAGATGAAAGACCAAAGTTTGAAGATTTATTAGAATCTTTAGAATCTCTAAGAGGAAGTAATTTAGTTCATTCATTAAGCTTTAGTATATTTTCCAATTTTCAGTATGAACAGTTCTATCCTGACATGGAATTATCTGTTCGACCTGTATTTTAAAAATCTCAATAATTATGTACTTAAAAAAACAAGCAGCAATTTTACATTATGCAAATTTTAAATTTATCAATTTTTGTGATTTAAATATATTTTTTTTAATATGTACTCTTGTTATTGCAAAGTGGATATTTATAAATTAATTTTAGTGTCAGTATTAACGCTATCAATACATTCCATTTTAAGTGAAACAAACCAAGTCTTTATTTTTATTATACTCATTTTGTACTTATGTAATAAAAAAAATCGAAATAAAAAGCTGTTTTTATAATTGACCTCTAAACCTATACCACCTATACCCTATGTTAAAAGGTACGTATAACGGGTATAAGGTATAACCTACGGTTATTAAACTAATTTAGATACCTCCGGACGTTACCTCCATATTATCCTTGTTTATTATGGAGTGTAGAGATATAAAATATATACCATACTAACCATACTCCATAATATAAGGATAATATACATATAAAAGAGGTTACCCCTAATAGGTATGTAACCAACAAAACACTCATTTCATTTACATTTCTTAAGGAAATGCACTATGCAATTTGCACTTACAAGATCATTTCTGAAGAAATTTTCTTCAGAAATAATCTGTCCATTTAAGTCAATCAAAATGTTATTAAGTTTATAGGATCGAATCTAAGAAAAGTACTAAAAGAATATTGGATATACTGCCGAATAACGCAGTTAAAACCATTTAATTATGAATATTTTCATAGTAGCTCAGTTGAGCAGTTTCCACACGTAGGCAGTATGACTAGTCATTCTGCTTTGAGGAGTGACCACGGACCCGAGTTACATGGGCACCAAAAGTAACTTGTGAGATTAGTTAAAGATGAAACTAATACCTGGTGCTACCTACACCTTCGACTAAGAACGCTGAGCTTCTGAGAGTACCTACTCAGTATAAATCATAGAGTATAAATGCTACGTCTTGGATGTATTCGTCCAGATAGGAACAGAACTAGATTTGAATTGCTCAATAAATATATGCTAAATGGATATAACCACCTATATCCAACAGTGAATTATTGAATGTGAAATCTAATTCCATATAACCGAGTCAAATTAGGCTCATAACACAGCAGACAGCAGAAGACTTTTTAGACATTTTTCAGTCACTGCACCTGAAAACGGATTATTCTTTGGTTAACACTTACAATAAGCTATTTTGAATAAAACACATAAGATATTGTGAACATGTTATTTATCAAAAATATAATATGACAATACAATGTATGGAATGTTTTGTTCCAAATAATTCAAACTATAGAAAAGTACCATAAACGCATCTATTATTGTCAATTAATAAGAATATCAATTAAGTGTTTATAAAACGACAATAACTAAGTCAGGTAACAAAAGTACTAAAACAATAACTAAATGAACTCAGTTTCAATAATTAAGAGTAATGACATGCAGGGTATATGTAAGGCCTTAAAACCATGACAATCTGTAAGTGATAGCAGAGAATGATTCTGTGAGAACATAGATAATATATTCTAGTATAGAGTATAATACTCCACGTGGTTCTGGCTCTTTACATATGTTACCCTATACAAATTATAAATCAAATACAAGAAATATTTAAATTATCAAAAATTATCAACGATGCTAAACTATTAAACTTTATAAAAAATAAACATGATGGAATGACTTTCCTTAACCGAACGATTTGAGGTTAATGCCCTCAAAGTTTTTCTTTGGTATTAGTAATATAAATAAGCCCTTTCCTAAGCGAAACGACAGCTTAGTATCACAGCTTTAGTAGGAAGTTAGAACAATAAAATTCAACTGTCAAGGTAAACAAATACTTGTTAAATATATTAGACTGGTAATCATTATATTTATAATGTAAAGACCATAATATTAGTAATTAAATTTAGTACCTTGTCAGTTGCTAAATAAACGACAAAAACGATTGAACGAAAACAATTAAAAAACGAACAAATTTCAAACAATACTGAACAATTATTGAGTTTCCTCTTCAATATATTCAGACTTGTGTTCATCGCGTATTACCGGATCGCAACTTTTATTAACTTGTAATATTGGCCAATGGTACTTAGCTATATTTATCACATTCTGCATAGTTGCCTTGGCTTCATCAGTTACTTTACTTAAAACTGGCATTGGCAGCGGATGACCCAATAAAGCTCGAACGCAGTTAACTACGCCTAAAGAGGTCGTCTCTAAATTATAACCACCTTCTAGAGCCAAAACCATTGGCGCTACTGACTTTAGAAGATTAATCATGTGTCCAAAAGTCTCTGGCGCTACACTATAATTACCTGTAAACGAAAATTGGATTACAAATATGTGTTCATTTTCAAGACCACTTAAATATACCCAAAGGATCATTAATCCCGGCATCAAATCCGGCTGACACAATAATTATATCAGGATTATAAGAGTAGCTGACAGGTAGAACAATCTTCATCCAAGTGTACAGATAATCAGCATTTCCCATTTTGCCCTAAACCAAAAACATATATTGCCTTGGGTAGGGGAAAATTGAACTAAACTTACACTACTAAAAGGAATGTTAATATTAAAACCTAGTCCAGGGCCTGATCCTAGATAGGTAAAGTTTCCAGACTTATCCTTAGGAAAAAATTTCGCATTGTCAAAACGATGCATTGATATGTACATGATGTCTCTTCTGTTATAAGTGAGTTGCTGAGTGCCATCTCCATGATGAACATCAAAATCGACGATCAAAATTCTACAGTAAACTGAACATTCAGGAAAGTTAATTTTATGATTAATGAGGTGACGTACTTTTTATATCCACTCTGATTAATCAAGTAGTCGGCTGCTACAACTACATTGTTGATTAAACAGAATCCACCAGCACTTGATTTCTTGGCATGATGGCCCGGAGGTCTAACAATTCCAACTCCATGAGATATTTCTTTGTCTTTAATTTTCATCCCAATCCAGGCAAGAACAGCAACTGACCAGCGACATACCTATATTTTATTAACGTCAATTTATAAACGTATTATTAGTATATAAAATATTAGTTACTTCTCTGGTCGATGAACATAGGTAAACATCTGGTTTTTTAGGGAGGGCATCGTTGTCAATGTTCTTTAAATACTGCTCCCCATGAGTTGATTTAATGTACTGATCAATAAGACTCCAAGATATTGGTCGTTCAGGGCGAATCTATGGATTACATTTATTTTAGGCAAAACATACTTAAATCAAATAAGTTTGCATACTGGTACATTAAGATTTGTCATTTGTCCAATCAGATTAAAGTCTGTAAGCTTGTCTATTATTACATCAATGCGGTCTTGAACTTCTTGAGTTGTTTGATTTGATGGAGGGTCATGAAGAAAAGCTTCTTCATTCACCATGTAACCAATGACTGTTTCACTCAAGTTGTAGCGTTCTGAAAGTATTATAACGGAATTTCTTGAATTACCATTACCGAAAAGAATTACCAGTTTGTAAAAATGTGATGTAATTTTTTATAAGCGCTTCTTCTCCTAAGGAATTCAAAGGATAGAAGCCTCTAGTAGGAAATGGAGGTCTCTCTGGTTCTCCAATAAAATGTCTCACTGCTACATGGTAATTGAATCTAAATAGAATAAATGTGAACTATTAGATTATTAGACAAAAAACTAATAAGACTCTAACCTGTCATAATTCTGTATATCTTTTATCTCCACTAATGGTTCCATTTGAAGGCAATTCCAATAAGGACGTAGGGCAATTTTAGTGTTATTAATAGAGTCAATCACGGAAGGATTGATATGGGTAGTGTATTGCAAAGGATGACATGGATCACCTAGAAGGGCCCTTACTGTGCGCAGAGCAGAATCAGCCAAGCTTGAAAGACAGTAACCCCCCTCCAAAAACACAGCAATTTTACCATTAGCAAGACCACTAAGCAGAGTAATTAAGTGGCCATAAAACGCCGGAGTCACACACATACGGCCCTGCAATAGCACAAACATTTCTTCAAAATTGAGTGAGATTAAAACATTATAATAAGTTCCAGAACAACTATTAGTTCAATTTATTATTTCTCTAAAACGTTCCAGGTTTGGTTTCCAGTTAAATTATTCATTTTTTCTGGCTACATTTTTAGTAAATAGATCTGTTGAACTGAAAGGAAATAGTAAGACAGTTTAATCAATATCCGGCGAGTTGGATATACAGCTTTGCATTTTCTAAGAGTCATATGCATCACCTGCAGCACATATACTCTGTCCCTCTCCGTCAATGTGTATTAGAGAGACAGAAATACTGGTTGATTAATGAGTTGTGAGGATATAGCACGATCTTTCTAGCAAAGTAATGAACAAGAAGTTATAGTAAAACTATGCATAAAAGGTGATAACATGCAATATTAGAATTTAAGAATGTAGCATGCTCGTAAACTATTGTTATTTTATATATGTATATATACAGATTCTCTCTAAAATAATGGAGCATGCTATTGTACATACAGGGTAATACGTGTAATTCAGTGAAAAAAAGTAAATGTATATTTGGCGATTATAAACCGATATTAATATAACTGCGGGCTAATTTTAATAACTAAAAATATAGATATATGTAGCAGTTTAATGATATTTGTAAAAATGTGTTTTCCTGTAGGAAGACAACCTAAACAAAGTAAAACAATAGTAAAAGCTACAAAGGCTTCAGAAAATAGAAGGACTATTCTACAATGTTCAAAAAACTATTGTGTTTTTGTTACATTCATTATCATGAATGAAGGAACTAAATCTAAATTGGAGACTAAAGAGTTGAATTATGATTATGTTGTTAAATATGATTATTCTCAATATATATGTTACAGTTAAAGTCCGATGTCCGGATAATGTCGACATTAACACGTTAATGTTTGGGTTAGGTTTTCTGGTTGTTTTGTTGTGTGTTATTCTCGAGATTAACCGGGTTATGTCGACATTAACCGGACATCGGACCTTAACCGTAACATATACATGCACACATACATTCATATATATAACACACAAATATATGAAACAGATGAAATGTTTAAATAATGAGAATTCTAAATATATATAAAATTAATGGCCAATCAACTGAACTACATTTCATGTATTCCATACCTTCCCATCTCCTACACAACTGTCATATCCAGAAGATACCAATATTACATCAGGATTAAACTGAAACAAAAAAATATAATTACCTCTGGGCAGCCAATACAAGCATCATAACCAGCAGATACTAAAATAATTGATGGATTAAACTAGAAAAGAAACAACACTTGAAAGTTACTTTTAATGATTCTATTAGTGAGTATGAAGAATACCTCATATGCAATTGGCAATAAAATATTGATAATAATGGCTAGGTAATCATGATCATTAAGTCTAGTTTCATTGAGTGGGACATTGATATTATATCCTTTGCCTTCTTCTTGTCCTATATGATCAAAATTACTTTCCACTAAGTTGGGCCAAAAGGTTCCATGTTCATAACGATGAATTGAAAAATAAAGTACTCTGAAAACAAGTAAATAAGTATTGGTTTTCAAAAAAGGAAATTTACCCTTACTTGTCAGAATTATAAAAAATCTCTTGAGTTCCTTGTCCATGATGAACATCATAATCAACAATAAGAATTTTTTCTGCTAGATTGTTTTTCAAAAGATATTTGGCTACTATAGCTACATTATTAAATGTGCAATATCCATTTGGGACACATGGCAAAGCATGATGACCTGGAGGTCGGATATTAGCAAAACCATTTTGAACTTTATCTTCTACTATTAATCTTGTCAAAGAAACTGCTGCTTTTACAGCATCAATGGCACCTTGAAATGAATGCTAAAAATTATAAATATAGAAGATAGATCAATAATTACAATAACTTTAAGTTATTTTACCATGCCATTAAAATAAATACTGTCATATTTTGTTGCTTCATCTTCACTTTCAGAAGCAAATAATTCTTTAATCTTGTCAACAGCATCTGGTGGATGAACAAAGCTTAGCAAATCACTTACATCAGTTTCAACCATATCATTATAACGTAATAAATCTAATCTGTCGATGAGTGGTTGAATACTAAAAATTAAATCTAATTTAAAGTTTAAACAATATATTAAAGTTATGCTTACGCTCTATTTATATTTAGTGCTCTAGAAGGACATTCCGGGAAATCCTTATCCCATGGAGAATAATGTCTTTGACTGGGAACATATCCATAAGCAGTGGCGAGTCTTTCTGAAGCTTTATAATCATATGTAGGTTTGTATGGATCCTCCACTACAGACCTTATTTCAGGGTTATCCAGTACAACTTCAGTCATCTTTGCTCGACGTTTTTCTTTTATAAGGTCTTTTAAAGACTGATATAAAATATGGTTAATTAGAAGATTATAACTACAAGGCACGGATGTATAAACAACTGTGCGGCAAGGCAATTGCTTTGCGATTTCCCTCTAAAAATTGAAGAGCACTCAGGAAATATAATGAAAGTCCATTTTCTGCTAATTTCATTTTAATGCATCATATTTTTCGTCTTAAAAAGCTACACCTTTTAGTACCTGAATAAACAGAAACACTGATAACGGTCACATAGAAACAGGCATTTAGAAATGGGAAAACCCATAAAAGTCCAGCATAATTTAAATTAAAAAGTGCTCTCCTGAACATTCATCGTTTTTGGACCATCATCATGTTTTCCGTGTGCTCCTCAATTATTATTAGACATCTTTCTTCCCGCCATTATTATTTTTCCTGCTAGGAATACCTACTTACTGCAATAATATTATTCTCTATAATATTTATGAAACCAATTTATAATAGCTAATACCTATCAGCTATATTTTGTTCAAAAATGATACAACTGAAATTAAAATATCCACTACAAATATCAGATCACAGTATAACAAATTATTAAAAATGCTATTCCCTATTCTCCATTTGGAATAGAACTATACAGGAAAATACATACATAACAAAACAATAAGGTATTATATTAAGATATAAATGCTGCTTTCAAAAGATATACAAACCTCTTAAGTTGTTACTGTTGAATTGTTTTTATCAGATATACAATTTTATTAAGACTGCGACAAAATATTTTGAGAAATAATATTAAAAAAGCTAACAAATTACAGATACTTTAGATTACAGAAACAAATGAATATTACCTTTTTGGGAATGGCGCCCTTGTTGCTATCCATTTCCTATTAAACCTGCAAAAAGAGGTACTCTAACATAAATAAGATTGTAGTTTTATTAATATTTATCAATTAAAAAAATACTTACGACTACGTTTTCACATCGACCGTCAATTTTTATCAACTTTAAGTAAACAATATTATCTTCCACATTATCTTTCACCAAAAGTATCTCAAGATGTTATTTAAGAAACCAACTTAACCATGCCATAACCTGCCATAACCTTAATCGAGAATGTACAAACTGGTACAAATACCAAATTTAAACGTATTTGACAAATACCAAATACACAGACCAAATACCTGCCAAATACCCACAAATACCATCATATACATATGACGGATACCATGCGAATACCAATATGGATACTATGAAAATGCCCACTACTCACTACACACCCGTGTATATTCGGTTGTCTGTCTACTGTTCTTGGGTAGAGCTACAGGGTAGAGCGGGTAGAGCTATTAGGCCTCCAGAAATACGTTATTTTAAACGTATTTGGGCCTCCACAAGTGGCATATTAACCAAATTCTTTAGTAACTAAAGCTGTAAAATGAGTCCCCTAAATGCAAAACTCGGTATTTGACGAAATTTTGAAAAGCGGGATTTTCGCGCCATTCCCTTGCTTATCATAACATGCACCTTATCTGCTAGTTAGTAAGTTGCTAAAGTGTGTATCTGTATCAAGATCTGTATGTTAAAAATACATTTGAAAACAAAGCTTAAATGCAAAACTCTGTATTTGCTCTCACTTGTCAGATGCAAAGCTGTGTAAATGCATTTGGTAAAGGGCAGTAGTAATAATTCATGGTACAAAGAAAACAAGGTATGATCGATAGCGGCTCCAATTTCGTTAAGTTTGCGCATACCACCTGTGACGTCATACGCCATACAAAAAAATATCAATATTGTTCAATTGCCACTAATAAAAAAAAGACCTAAAATAGGGAAGAATTAGGACATAACCCCAAAAGTTATGTTTTGACATCGAGCTTGACATTTGAAAAATTATTTTCACATTTTGACACAATCAAATTTCACAGATGACATAATCTGTTTGACAATTTGAAATTGGCGCGCAGAGCTTGCCGACCTTAGATTAAGAATAAAAATAGATAGAGCAAGTCATTCATAAATTCACAAAATCGAGGTGCCTACATCGTTTTATCGGTGAGTGCCCCCACTACCATAGTTTATGGACAGCGGGGTAAAGAGGAAAGTGGTAGGGGAGTTTACAGCGGAAGAGCATCAAAACAGAATTTAACCTTGAGATTCATTGATGATAGTAAAGTAAAAGCCAGAGATATAGAAGTAGGTGGTTAGAGGCTTGTTAGAGGCAAAGATAAAATATTTTTTAATAATAAATTTTAAAAATATGTTCATGCAATAAAACTAATAAATTATTATAAATACATAATAGTATATGCTATAAAATATTTAACAAACACTATAAAAAATTTGTTTATTAAATATTCAATAATTAAAAGTTAGATATAATTAAAAGATATTATACATCGTATAGTGATTGATAATTATAAACTAAAATGTTAATGGATCTATTATATAAGATGTCTTGTTATTTAGATAGTATTAATTACAAAAGAAAAATAGATGCATGTGAATAACTATTTTTTATATTAAATATCAGTAGATATTATTTACAATAATAATATAATTAATATAATGTATAATTAAAAGCACAAAATTCATCTTTTCCTACCTATACCATAAATATATTCGGTAATTTTAAGTGAAAATATTAGCACAAAAACTAAAAAAAACAATGTTCTGTGGTTTTCAAATTCATATTAGTAAGAGAGTAATATTTTGACCAAACGAATTCTCAGTGTAAGGATATTTACATACCATATAATTTTACATTAGTTAGGTATTAATCATAACACAATATTAATAAAAAACACAAGTGTTGTATTTTAATAATATATTTAGGGACTGAGTAAAAATATAATATATGTATAATATTCTTACATTTACAGGTTCATATTAAATAAAATATTGTAACCTGAAAAAATATATATTTTGTTAAATGCCACTGTAAGGATCCAAGCAGAAACTAATTTCTCATTGGCTTTTTACTTGTTGACATATGTATTTGCATAACAGATAACATAGTTATAGCAAATATATTCAATCAATCAATCATTTATTTATTTCCATAAAACAATGTACAATTGTATAGGAATAGTCAATAAATTCTTAAAGCTAACACAAATATATAATACAAAATATAAAAAACAAACACAACAGATCATAATAAAATTATCATATCACGTAAAGCCTCATATTATAATTTGCAGGTATTCCTCCACACTATAAAAGTTCATTTCGAACAAATCATTTTTAAGTAAAAGTCTAGAATATGCGATTCTAATCACTATCATAATTTGTCTCTCAACAAAAGTAATTCTGTAGCTCTGCCTAGGATTCACATCTCTCAATATTTTGCATAGTAGCATTACGTCAATTTTAAACATGATGTAAAGGACCAATTTCATATGCACTATGTAATTAAAGTAACGACTTCCACACCATGAATATCTTCACTTCCTAAAACAAAATATAAACATGAAGTTGGTGAATATAAATATCTACATTGAGTATACATTGTGAGCAAAATAAAATTGACGATCAATGACATTCACCACATAAATTTACATTTTATAAAATTACATAAATCTTGCTTTCAAAGCCAACCCCTAACGCTGTTTTTTTCGATGGTGAGGATCTTATACAACTATAGTGTAATTTTAGTAAAATAATATTAATATAGGTATAGGGTAACACCTCTCATAGGGACTTAAAGGCTCCAAGGAAAATGAAAGTAATTTGTATGACTTGATTGATTTCTAAACCCTCCATTTGTTCTTTCAATACAAACTTCCATCAACAAAAATCCTTGAAACCTTCATATCGTATGAAAGGCACCACCCTGTACACTTTGAATCTGTGTATACATATTAGTATATAGTAATATTTTATATTAAAAAATTAAACTGTAAATATATATGTACTTACATATTGTGACGGAATAGGTATCCTAACAAGATCATAGTTCTTATCTCGTTATATGCAGGATCCTGATATCTTAATGTTAATTTCCTAGGTGATGTTGAAACAACTGAAAGACCACAAATCGCGACATAAATGGCTGTGAAAATCATCAGATTTTAAATATTTTCTTCAATTCCTTATAAAAAAATCAGCTGTTCTTGAGTTCTCTTTTGCTCGACTTTTTAATATTATGCTATGAATAAATCCTAACAGAGAAAACCATTTAATTTTTCTCTCACTATCTTTTAGAAATCTGAAATAAAATATTTATCTTAGTAATAGAAAACGTAAATAGGCATTATTTTACAAATGTAAACATACCAATTATAATTTATGTAAACATACAAATTATTTGTATTCATAATTAAATACAAATATACGATTTTAAATCGGACAATATTGTAACAAAAATATAAACATTACTTCTTATAATATACATAATATATTATATTCACAAAATTATATTATAAAACAAATAAACAAATTTTAACAAATATGGTAAATATTTTAGGTAAATAAAACGAGATGTTGTATTACCACAGAACAGTACTTACTTTTGAAATGACGATGTTTAAATTCTTTTATTCTCACACATTTTGCCAGTGTAGACCCATTTTAAATGCTAATTTTGGTCTTTTATATAAAATGAAACAATTATACATTAATAGTTTATTAATAGTTAAGAAATATGGAAAAATAAAAGCACGGCAAACAGCTGATCATGCCAATCAGCTGTTTATCGACAGTATTGACACTGTTGACCGCGTCCAATTCCCCTACTATAGAAAATACTATAACAACAGAGCGGCGTTGTCAGATTAAAAATTAATCCTAACGGCTGATGAAAAATGACGAAATTTACAAATATTTCAAGTTTATTTTTCTTGTAATCTTGACTGAATCTTAATAAGTACTAAATAAAATTATAAATGTCGAAATTTTGAAAAGTAGTAAGCTAATTATATTATTATTTTCTTAAGATTTCCCCAAAGTATACGTATACAAAATTAAAAATAAACAAAAGCGGAGAAATACTGGGCAACATACCAAACAATAACAATAGGATGTTGGCATTCGCATAAAATGTAAACAGTTCCCCTGTGTTGCCGACCAATGGTGCCGTTTATCACCTGTGACGTAGCGACCAACCTGCGCAATATCATACCTTGTATTCTTGTATCATGGTACAGTGCCTTCTATTAAAAGATCAGCCTACGGGCGGACTTTTGTTTACTTCATCAGCTGTACATACTTAGATATTGGGTTAGATTCTGTATTCATATTTTGTCGGTTGATTTTTAGTATTATTTGTTATTGTAGTGCAAAAAACTAATTATTTTGGTGTTTAAGTGACATAAAGTACTACCAGATATATGGTCGCTATGATGGTCACTCTGTTTCTCATAAAAAAACACGAAATATTACACGTTTTGTTAAGTGCTTTAACCTAAAAGTGCCCATAAATTTTTTATTTATCGTGATTTTTGTGTGTGTTTTTTAAGACTCTAACAATTCATCAATAAAGCTTAAGTGGAGTGTGTTTTTGGTGCTTTGGCTCATCTTTGTTGTGTTTGGTTTGGTGGAAAGGATAGTTATACTAGGCAGCTTAAAATATCCGGAAGAGCAAGAAAAGTGGGTACGAGTTATAAATCAGAGACAATTCTATTGAAAATCTCTTTAATAAATTTAAAAATAATATTCTCCCAGGATGGTATTAAAAGAAAACTGGACAATTATGTTTATTTTATTCATATTGTGGAATCTCCACTCCAAGTGTTGTTGGTTCAGCTTCGATAGATTCAAACACGTAAGATAAACACGTAAGTAGGTATTATGATGATCTAGGGAAAAATAAAGAATATGTGTATTAAAGATCATGAAAAGATTATTATTTTGAGTTCAAAATTAAAAAGATTTTGTAAAGACAAGAATGATAAAGTTTAAAAAAGAAGAATGTGTTTTGTTTGATAATATAATGTATGTAAAGAAGCATAACATATATTTGTTCAGTAATTTTTTACTGAATAGTGTTGATTATTTATAATACCAAATTAATATAAAATATTTAAGTGATGGCTGAATACAATATGAATAAAATAACAATAAAATTGGTATATTTGCAATACAAAATTAAGTTTTAAGAATAAAGGTGTTACAAAAATATACTAAGAAATTCATATTTCTTTGTTTTAATTGGTCTAATGTTATTTACATTTTACGTAAGAATTATACCGTATCATCGAAAAAAAAATCGGCGTCTAGTTGGCTTGAAATGAACATCGTGACATTCCCTAAATAACTGTACACATAAAATAATTAACTAGAATTTTACAATCTTGGAAAATTTGATATTCTTGAACCTTGATTCTAAATATTCTAAATTTTTGATTTTCTTGGAATTTAGGTTCGGGAAAAACGCTGATTGATTTTTCATTTGGTTTTTCGTTATTTTTATTTGGTTTTAAAAAACAGTTCGGCTAACATTATAGCCTCCATCAGTGTTGTGTCATATGAGAAAAAATAGTGTCGAATATAATCAAAAAGAGGTGCATATAAAATATTCACACACAAGCACATAATGTTTACTGCGTACTCCATAGTCAATGTAGATAATTTTAGTGTTAAGAATAATAATTTTAAAAAATATGTGGTCATCTTTTGATAAGTTTATATTGGTTTATTAATTGCAGTAAACATTATGAGGTGTGAATTATATTGTATATGTAATTTTTTGGATTATATTGACTATTTTCTCATATGACACAACACTAATGAAAACTATAGTTAGCAAAACACGTTTTAAAACAAATAAAAATAATAAAACAAATGAAAACAATCAACGTTTTCAAACTAAAATCAAGAAATCAAAATCAAAAATTACACAAGAATTCTTTATATAAAATGCCAGCGATCTTCATTTCATAACCATCGCTGACGCCTTTTTTAGATAATATTGTATTATTTGTAAATATAATTTTTCGAACATTGATACTTGCAAATATACATATAAATTTTTGAATACAAATAATAATACATCACTATTAGTAGATATTAAATGTTTTTGTGAAATTAGATCGATTTTCAAACCCCAAAATTTAAAATATATTTACATTTTACCCATTATCTTATGTACCTATACATTACTTGTACATTGTAAAACATTTGCTGCATTTGTATGGTTCATAGTTTATTTGCCAAAGTATTTATTACTATAAATAGGTATATATGTTGTAGTTATTAACTGTATATTATGTATATTTTATTTAGTTCATTATATCATATTTCAAGATATATCATTTTTAAAATACAAACCAAAAATCTGAGGAATAATTATGTTTTCCATGTATTCTACAACATATTTATTAATCCGTTATATCTAAGTAGCGTGACGTCATAAATCTCGCCCGTAGGCTGATCTTTTAATAGAAGGCACTGCATGGTAATAATTACCATCGCTCGTGTTTGCCATTCTTCGTTAAAAAATATTTTCCATCGCTCGTGTTTGCCATTCTTCGTTATTAAAAATTTGTGAAATTGGCAAAGGTAGAAAACGAACAGTAAACAGAGAGATGAAGACGGCTTAATTATTATGGAAGAAGAAAATCCAGAACTTAGAATCTAAGCCCTTGTTGTTTGGAACCTGTTTCCTAAAGTGCCTAAGAACCAGCGTTGCCAATGGTCCAAACTTATATTCCACGGCGAACATACCCAAATTCCACAAAATTCCACAATCACTAGCCAGGGGCGCTATTCTGTACAATCGTCGGTATCGGCAAGTAACCGACAGCTATCGGTACGTACGGCCAATGAGCGTCGTGTTGATTGTTGTTGTCATAGTTACTCGTAGAGATACCGATTTTCGTCGGTACAAATTTACGATATCTGCCATAGGACCGATCGGTAACTATGACAACAACAATTAACACATTTTTACTATATACAAATACGTATCGAGAGCTGTCGTAACTTACCGATACCGACAATTTTACAGAATAGCGCCCCAGGTTCGGTCTTTAGGTCTGCGACCAATCCGACATTTGTTTTATATAAACCACGTGATCTTAAAGGGATTTTACACTTATTTTACATAATATTGTGACGTGTGATATGTGATATGTCGAAAATTTCGTTGGATTGCTTGCAGATCTAAATACCCAAATACGTTTAAACTACCTATACCGCGGCCTTCCCATAAGAGCAATGAGAGATATTATGTCCCAGTATTGAAGGAGGACAGAAAATAGAGTCGAATGGTTTCAAGACATAGGTTCGTCCTTGTTTAGTCAAACCTCCTACCACACAAGGATAGACTTATGTAGGAAATGCATTGAAATTCTATAGCCATCCTTTAACATCGGGACAGGAATTTAAGCGGTACCCTCCGTATAGGTAATTTAAACGTATTTGTAAATACCGAACCTAGCTGCTGACCTCCACGGCATCTTCTCACGCTCTTTTTACAGAAATCTGTAAAATTATGATGAGTCTTCTAATTTTTTTTTACTATTAGCTAAATAAAGGGAAAAAAAGGAAAAAAAGAATAATTCCGAAAATTCCACAAAATTCCACATTTATTCTATTCCACAAACGTTCCACAACATTATTACGAATTCCACACATTTTGTGGAATTCCACAAAGATTGGCAACGCTGCTAAGAACCTGCATGTTTTTTAGTTTAGAAAAGTTTCTTTTTTCGGTTCTTGTTTGTAAGGATTATTATTATTCCAAGGACTTGGAATTTGAAAGTTTGCTTTTCAAAGTACGCACCTGTTTTGTTTAGTTAGTTAGAAAATATTTTTTTGTGTTAAAATATTTTTTTATATTATTATGTCTAATAAATAATGTTTTAGCACTACTTTGTGCCTTCAATTTAAAGAAAATGGGTTTAATCTGAAAGTAATTTTTAAATTCCACAAGTATATATTTATGGGTATGGGCAATTTTGAGTAGCAAACTGGGTATTCTCAAAACACAGGTGCAAAACTCGGTATTTTAATTTTAAAAGTTAGTTTTTGGTAGGATTTCAAATTAAAAAGAATAGTAGTTTTACATCGATATGACTAGAGTTAACTAAAACCAAGATTTAAAACAAATCATATGTATTTTAATAAGTGACAAATTTGTTGGTTTCCTGAACATTTGCGTGACTAGCAAATACCGAGTTTTGCATTTAGGGGACTCAAATATTTTAATAGCTGCCGGGGCTGGCAGAGACTACAATAGCTGTGAAAATTCAAATCTATGGATGTGTATTTTGGTTGCGATTGATTCATTTTATTAATGTAAAGGGTGTTTTAGTGTTATAGTTTCTTACCCACTCTTCCCTTATTGAAAACTTTGCAGGTATTTAAGTAAAAAAGCCATATTGCCTATAGATACAGGGATATCTATACTTAGTCATAGATACTGCGAAAAAAAGCTTTTTACTTTTTAATATATTTATTTACTCACTTTTATTTGTATTTTGAATACACTTAAATGTCACAAGTTCATACACAATTACAACTATGTACACATACAATTTTATATAATTTTAACTCAACTAATGACTTGCCTGGATTAAACTAACCCTAAAGCCCACACCTATCAACATCAGAATCAAAAATTTAATAAAAACTTTGGAATTTTATGATGTAGGATTGGGCTTTAGTAACGTAACGTTTCAGCCTTTTCAATTTTACAATCCAATTTAACTTATCTAAACTTAAAAAAAAATAAAAAATAAAATTAATTAGCAAAAGGAACAATTAAATGGAAGAACAGTACCCCAAGCAGAATATTTAATAGTATCAAAGCCGATGGACGGATCTGAAGCGATCAATAAATCAATTTTGTCTAATAAAAGTTTAAAAACATAAAATTTACAGATGTATTCCAAATATTTAAACAATATACAATATTAAATTTTCTGTTGAGGCATTGGAAAGTGAGCAAGAGTTGCACAACTAAATTTTTGGTCCAAATATACCTATGATAATATACATGTAAATATAAATATAAAAAACTGCGCTAAATTATGTAACATATATAAATAAATTAATAGAAAGACTTACATTAATATACATATATTTATATTTATTCTTTTGAAATATTCTACGTTCTACAAGATCAGTTAAGCTTAAACTGTATTAATACAGAGCTGTTAAAACAACCCTTATAACTAACTCTTTAACACCATATTACACCTCTTTAGACAAAATTTATAAATTCTAAAATATCCAACTTTGCAACATTCTTTTTAAAGGTTTATTTTGCCCTGTATGCATAAAAGTTTAGGCATTTACAGCTATAACATCATTACTGTGTCTATAAACTATTTTTTTTATCGCTTCAAGAATTTTACTCTAACCATATAGGCTTCCTGAAAGCGATAATGAATGTGCTAAAAATGTTTAGGGTTTTAACTTTTAGGAATTTGTGAAAAAAAAATATGTAAGAATTATTCAATGAAAAATATAAATGGTATTATTAAATTATCGTTCTAAATACTACAAAGGTATGAACAATTAGTAGGCCTATTATCTAGTGATTGAACGGAAATGGAATTATAAAATCTTTGCATTGACATGTATAACATTTAAAATATTATATTCAATCGGCTAATCTAAACATTTATATTTTCTAGTGTTTCAGCATACTTTCCTTAACAAAAATACATAATATTCATTTTTCAAGATATTATTTTAACGCCTCACAATCTCATTTTAAACAGATATTGTATTGATAGTAATATAAAATATACAATTTTGATGATTGTCATAAACCAAATAATTAATAATTTTTAGACTTAGTAAAGAATTTATTTCCAGGATAGTGAGATGAAAAATGACATTAGTATCCGTTCAGTCTAAATGCTATTTTACTACTTGAAGTAAGCCTTTTCCTCTTTATATACAGACAAGTTAGTGTGAAGGACGACAAACAAAAAATAAAGAGCTCCTACCTCAACTATTTCAAAATATAGTAGGTCTTCACACTCACTAGTTAAAATGTGCCTAAGTCTATAATTAAATTGTGCTATTTAGTTAAAGATGTTTTAAATTTATCTTACAAAAATCTACAGCCAGTAGTTTCTGTTCCAATTTTAAGTATATTCCAAAAATAATAATAAAGGGGAATTTAGAGTTCTTGAAATATATTTGTGCTATAACAGCGTGTTTGTTGAACCCTGTGTTTTTACTAATAGAATTACAAAAACGATTAAATAATAAAAAATCACCCTGTATAGTGTTTATCGTTATTGTTAAGATGTGATGTCAACCATGAACATAGACCAGCAGTAAGGCTAAGCACAAATTTAGTCGCGGATAACGCGTGTGACGTGACTTGTCGCGATGCGATTTTTGGGAACCTACAGAAATAAATGGAACAGCGCAAATTGACAACAAAGAGCAGCGCGGCGCGACCGGCGTGACCTGATGAACGCGCGTCGCGTGCATTATTTTTTATTATGGAATACAGTAACATTTTTTCTTCGGAATCATCTGATTCTGTTTCAGAACTAAAGTTTAGTAAAAATAATTGTTTCGATGGCGAATCAGACATTTTTATGCAGACGTTTTATACAATACTGAAAAACTGACTCCCAATTTGCGGACCACCACGCAGCGCGTGTGACACACGTGTCGATTCAGGTCGTGTCCCACGCGATATACGCAACTCAATTTGCGCTTAGCCTAATAGTTTAAAATTAATGAAAAAGTAATGTTCAAATGACTAGCAATCAATATGCAGCAATTTTAAATAGACACTAAATTATATATATACAACACTAAGAATATACAACTTGGTTGTTGCAAAAAGTTTCACTTTAACTGCAACATTTATTTCTGTTGATACAACAGAAAAACATTAATTTGGTTGTTTATATATTACCGCTAATATTTGACACAAATACATTAAAAATTGTTAGAAAATGCTATCTAGAGTGAAAATAAATGCAAACTATTTCAGATGCATGAAACAAATGGAAATAAGCACCGCGATTTTAAAATATCCTAAAAATTATAGCACCACAACTGAGGTAAATAAATAAGCATAAAATTAAAAATAAATTATAAATATTAAATAATTTTAACACTACCTTAAATAGAATAATTAAAATATGCTTTGGATAATGAATAAATATGTAAAAAAAATCACCCAACTCCTTGTCTTACTTAAACTCCAATTCGGAATTGTCTTGCATATGAATATAAAATAAATAAAAATACCTACACTCTATTCTTCAGATTCTCTAATAATGGTATGGCTGAAAAATAAAATTAAAAATGTGTAACATAAAAGTATTGTAAAAAAATATTAAGCTAGTATGTATATAAATGGAAACCATAATTACAAAAAGCAAAACAACACACTTATTTTAGGAACATAATATCAAAATTATTAGTAAAATATCAACAGATCTTCAGAAAATCTAGTAATAACAATGAAATTCAAGGTTACCATAGAAAACATTTTCAAGCAACACGAAACTGCATCTCAAAACGAGCTACAATACCATAGACATAAACGACAATTATTTCATTTTATGTCACTATAGATATAATATAAAAAGTAATACATCTATAGAAAGTTAAATGTAGATTATAAGTAGTAGAATCCCCCCCCCCAATATATAGTTCATATATATAGATCATTATAGTATAATGTATGTTACTTATTATACACCAATCATAACAAATATCTATATTATTTTCCCCAACATACTGAGATTATATAATTGAAAATTTGATGACAATAATGAAATGGCTATTAATATCGCATAATATATAATATAATATATATAATAGAATGTTGTTTCAATACCTCAACTATCAACTCATCAGCAATAGTCAAATTAACATATTGATTTAATTAAATCAGTTAATTATGAAGTTAAATATGACAGAAAACTGAAAACAGTGTCATTACATTTTTACCAACCAAATTTTAGAATTATTTATGACAGATGAAGCAAGGTGAAATGTTTAAAATTAAATCAATTCTTAAAGTTTACTAAATCTTAAATGTCAAATATTATTATACGAGATTAGTGACGGCAAAACTTATATAGCAATAGCTTATTATAACATAACGTTTCATATTGCATATTATAACACACATTTGTGAAAATATATATGACTTCATGTCTTGATATTTTTCTAAATATAAAATAAGGAACTAAAATAATTTTTAGATTTTTGGCATTTTAGGAACTCACAAAAATTCGATGTAAATCAATTTACTTAAACTTGTTCGTTGTTAAATTGTTTTCCTATTCAAGACATGAAATCCTATATTAGAGAGAACTGTAATCCCACAAATAGTTCTGAGACAAGGACTGATTAACTACACGTAAAAAGGGGTGACATCAAGCGAGCCATTGGCAATATACACATATCATTCAACACAAGACATAGTTAAAAATTGACATCCATTTGAATCGCACAAAAAGAATTCAGCTTTGCCTTATTTCTATTGTTATTTACCAAAAAGCGTGTTATTTTATAACAATAAGTAATTAATACTCAAAGGCAAAACCAAGGAGTTTTGTAGCGTAATTACGAGAATGAAGTTAAAGAAACAGTTCATATAACAGCGCCTTCAGATTCCATACCTTCTGGTGGAACTCGTTCAAATTCGTCTTTTGGTTCGTGCAGAGTAGTAACATGTCCAATCTCGGACGTAGACGGTCTGTCGCAACTAAGTTCTGAAACAGCAGCAGTAGCAGGGAAACCATCTGGAGATCTAGAACAGCTTGGTTGGGAGTCGGAACAGTTCGACGCCTTTCCAGAACAATTGGAGCCAGAAATACGGTTTTTAGCAATGCCATTTGCAAGAGTATACATGTCTGGTGGTACGTCATCAAGGTACTTCTCTGTCTCACAACAGGCTGCCTGAACGCAAAGGTGTAATTTCATGTAATCGTCCACATTAAGCCATATGCCTGGTCTTTTGTTATGGTATAATTTCGCATACATGTATATGTCAGCCTTTTGCTCGTAAGCTAAATGTTTCTTTATCGTTACTAATGAACAAAACGTGGCTGCATCAGTTCCACCAAATCTGCACAGACCAAAAAAACAACATTTACAAAGGTGAATATTTAAAATGAACCAAAACCAATTTAGTGACAACAGGAAAGTCGTCAAGAACAAAAATTGTCATTGGTTTGATGTAATGCAATTGGCTGACAAATTTCAATCATGACCTACATTGCGGAACTTTTGAAAAAAAAATTTGTCAATCATGTATATGTAAAAAACTGACTTTTTACATAGTATAACGAAGTGGCATGCAGTGCAAATCAATTCAGGGTAGGTAAAATTGACAAAATAAGAAGACTTTTTATAAATTATTTTTTTTTAGATTTGGCAACGCGTTACTCCCCAACTCTATCTCTTTCTGACAAGGCACAACCTTTACCATCCCATTAGAGACAATATAAAGATATCAAACTGCCTTAGTGTAAATTATATGAAGCGCCTTTTTGGTAAATTTTACATAGGAATTGCGCGATAACGCACTAGTCGAAATCGAAAATTATTTTAATATATGTTAAGGACGGTCCACACTTGCTATATAACACTGCTATATAGCAAAGTTATATAACATGTTACATATTTTTTAGTCATATTTATCAAATTTCGATGCTATATAACTTGTTAGATGTTAAGCATACCGCGCACTTATGCGCAGCGCGGCGCGGCGAAGCGCGGCGAAAAACCGTGCAACGGATTAAATTTGTGTTATATAATGCACGTCCGCTGACTCAAGCGAAGCAACCGCTTGCACCGCGCGCCGAAGCGCCGTTCGTTGCAGACCTGGAATCCAAAGCGAGGAAATTCTCTTCGGCGCGCTTCGCGTGCCCTAGTGCGCGGTGGTCTGCGGAAACTATCTCTGTTTTCGGTCATTTTCGAAATCTATTTCGGGTGTCTTCGGATGAAGGATTCTACGATTAATGTATTACTAATTGGCATTTAGGTTACGTTTAATCAAGAGCCGTTTTGTTTCGTTTAAAGTCTTTCGATAACGTCAATTGAGCAGCGAAATCTAGAATTTTGACGCTCTATACTTGGTCTTAACAAAGAAAGAAGTTCACTAAATTTTTCGTGGGTCATTCTATAATACTTGAAAAATTTTCTTTCGTCTTCCAGAAGATCTGAGTGAAGGTGATGGAATTCTCCGTACGTATTTCTTTTTATATTTATATTATGAATCCAAGATTTTCTTTTTTGTTCTCACGCATTTCTTCTTCCTCAGCTATTGTACATAAAGTAAGAAAATCTCCCTCTGAACTGCTGCTAGAACTTGAGCACATAATGAAATTTTAACACACCTTTATCAAACCGTCATAGAGATAACACTAAAATTAAAACGGTCAGCTCAAAACAACTTTAAATACCAACCGCGTACGCAAAACCGTGCATAAGTTAGCGGACCCATCAAAAATTCGCCGCGCTGCGCCGCGCCGCGCTTCGCATAAGTGCGCGATATGCTTTATCCATTTGTAGTCGGTAAAGATCAAAAGATGTTGTGCAACACTGCTATTGTAACATGAAACAACGCGTCCACACTTGCTAAATTTCTAGTTTAGCCGCTCATATTTTCAGGGACGTGCGCGACAGAATCTTAGTGTGGTGAGCTGATATTGGTTTGTTTATTTACTGGTCAAAAATATTGTATGATCGAAAAAAAATGTGTCCAGTCGGCCTCCCGTCCAGTTGGCTTGGACATGACGATCAATGACATTCCCCATATAATTTTCCATATAAAATGACAGCGATCTTAATTTCATTCATATTCATAGTATGTATTTGGAAAGAGAAACAGTTGAGAAAAAAATGCGTTATCTAATAGGCCAGTTCCAGAGGGAACAAAAGAAATGGAAATCAGGTACTGGTTTAGGTGAAGTGGATAATTCAAAATGGTTTGCTTTTAAGATATTAATATTTTTAAAAGACAGAAACACCATGAGAAACAGCCGAGGCAAGTATTGAAAAGATAAGCTAATTGAGTTCAACTATATCTAAATCTTGCTGGTAGGTTATGGCGGACTCAAAACCGCTTTTTTTCTCGACTTTCTTTCTCTTTGTTCAAAAATAATTACGCACGCCGCTGCTGCGAGCTGAACCTCTTTCTCACCAAAACGATTCATGATTACGAAAACTATAATGTGGACGGCTCCCGGTTTTTTAACATGTGATATGTAGCATGTTAAATAGCAATGTTATATAACATGTTACTAAATGTGGACCCCCCTTGAGGTAATCTCTAGAATAAAAATAAGATAAAAAATGCTTAATATGAATATTTGTTGGTTTAGTAATAAGTTATTAAGTGATGATATAAAAAATATTTTTAGCTTAATTTCTTGAATTGTAATATTTATAAATTATGCAGATTCTTGGAAATACAGTTCAGTTTAAGTTGCTTAATCTGCTGGTTAATCTGCAGACTGTGGTTGAAAGGTTTATATAACTAAATTATTAAAAAAATATAATATGACATAGATATAATGTCTATTATTTCAACTGAACTGCATTCCCAAGAATCTCTGCATAATTTAAAAAATATTTTATGACACCGCTTGGCTTTTTGCCTACATTAGATGCACGCCACTACTATAAAGTGTAAAAACATTTTTCTTTCTTTTTACTTGATATGTTATAGAAATAAGATATTAATTTGATACAATATACATTAGTACGACCATATATTACCTGTCAACAACACAAATTGGTCCTTGTCCTTGCTTCTGCAAATCAATGATGTAATTCGGTAAATCGTACATATTCTTGATACTCGGAACTCCGTGATGTGGCCAATTTAAGCACTGAACAAATTTCACTTTAATTTCGTAATCGTCCTGAACAGACTTCAGCAAAAATTCTCTCACTATATACGGCGAAGATCGGCTAATTATCATTTGTTTGCATGTGTAAACGTCCGTTTCAAGCACTTCATCTCCTTCAGGCCAGAACGTCTGGAATTCGTCTCCCATAACTACACTCAACATGACGATCAGTTGGCAGGCGTGGTCCCAACACATTTTCCAGAAATCTTCGCGCGACAATGGATGCTGAGTTACAATAAATTCTCTTAAGCTGTGAAAGCCCGGTAACCAACTAGCGTTTATATAATCAGATCCGTCTTCGCCAGGCCGAGGAGTCAGGTGAACTCTTGAACTTTCAATTGGTATCAGAATGGCGCACCGGTTTTTCTTCTGGTTCACCGGCTTGTTAGCGGAGACTAGATATATGTCTCTTGGTTTGAATTTTATCACTTGCTGCACATGAAACAAAAAAAAATCATTTTAAAATATGATTCGACCACAGCTTATTCAAGCAGTCAAATTCTTCTAATTAGAATATCCATACCTGAAATTGCTCACTCAAACTCTTCCAGGAATTGTCAGCTTCAATCCTGCTGTCTGGATTTTGTAAGAATTCGACATATCGTGAAACCTGATCCCGAGGAATGTCCGTTTCTCCTCCCTCAATAGCTTCAACTAAAGCATCATGAATGAATATATACTGTTCTTCAGTCTGCACGAGAAAATTACGTTGAGCTCGTATATGTTTCAAAAACCCGAATATATTCACTTCTCCCCTAGTTTTAATTTGCTTCAGCATCGCATCTAAGACGATATAAGTTCCAGTCCTGCCAACACCAGCACTGAAATCGAAAAATAATTTTTAATAAAAAAAAAAAGATTGTGCAGGTAATAATTGTTCAAACAAAACATTACCTGCAATGGACGACTATAGGTCCACTATCTGGTGGATTGGCAGCAGAAGATTTCTTTATAAAACTTATAACAGGTAATGGATGATCTGGAGTGCCATGATCTGGCCAATTAGTATAATGATATTGGTAAACTGTCTTCTCCAACAATGCTGCATCTTTGGCTCTTTTTACCTGTAAAAGTAACTAGTAGATAAAATGTAAAACATATTGATAACATTTTACATTGTCCATTTTGCTTACCCTGGTATGCCTGATCACCAAGGTCCTTATAGTGTAAGTTGCCATGACATCCTCTTTCACCAACTTCACTTCTATAACACCGTACATTTCTGAGCCTTCCTTGGGCCAGTACATATCACATTTTCTCTAAAAAGATATACACACAATTTATCAATTATAAAAGTTAAGATATAAAAACTAAAAACGTTATAAAAAAAGATAAGAAAGGATAACAGGTCGTTAGAAGGGTGCAAAATAAAAAAAAATACAGTGAAAACAAAAGAAAGTTAGTCAAAATAAAAATGTAAGCTCTCTAAAAATTACCTAGAAGTAAGAGCATTTGAGAGAAATATCTGGCAACCTGTTAAAAATGAAAGAAGGAAAATTCTTAATAAAAAAGAGGCTGTATACGAAATCACGGTCCTTACCCGTCCCCTTTCAACCAAATTCGTAATCATAACAATGATTGTTACTCTCTGTTCCCATATCATACGCCAGAAGCAGTCAAAAGTCGATGGAAGTGGCCCTTGGGTTCCGATATAAGCTCGGTTCACTTGAAATCCATCAATATAATTAGCGTTTATATAAGTGGAAACTTTCTGACCGGGCATCGGTAGCAGCTGGACGCGAGAGTGATCATCTGTTGAAAGAAAACACTAAATACCAACCAACATGAGTCCAATATAAAATAACTTACAGGCAATAATATTTAAATATCGGTTCTTAGGTTTATTTTCTGGATGTTGAGAATTCTCGGAGCTATTGCCTTCGTTGGTCGGATCATTTTGGATAGAATCATACTCCTTGCTAAATCCAATATCTCCGTCAGCATGTAGTCTTTGGACGTGCTCGGGGAATCTCGATACCTCTATAGGCCCACTGTAATCTCTCCTGTCGTCGTCTGGATTCTCTGGATCTGGATCATTTTTGGCAGGCTTGTTGTTCCAGTCCAGAGGAGCGGGAGTGCACTGCGTATTATCCAGATAGTAATACGGGGCTTGTAGGAATCTCCTGGAAAGATGGCGTGTGGAAATAACTAGTTAACGATGCTTCAAAAACCGTCTTGTTAGACATTCATGTTTAAATAAAACTAATGAAAAGAACACAAAACACAAATGGTGATATAGACGATTTTAAACCGTACAGATGAATTTTATTTTCATTAACTGGCATAGCAAAACCCTAAATACGGGATAAAATTTATTTACATCACCCATTTAACAGGCAGTAGTATTATACAATGCAAGTTTTATCACGTCGATTTTAATTGTTTTGAGTCGTTATTTATCACTTTTGCTCTTAATGCTTGATGTATATAAAGGTTAGAATAACAAAAATACAGAGTTGATCATTTGTAAAAAGAAACGTAATTTACACAGATTTTTAGCTAGCTAAATAGTCGAAAATAAATTTTAAGCATTAAATGATTGTAAAAAACTTGCTTATTGTCACTTCTGCTGCATATTGAATGATACAAAAAATGCTTAAAAGGAAAATCTTAAGGCGGACTCTGACGACTCGTGTACTTATACAAACATTGGTTATTGAGATATTATACTTGCCATGTTGCGTGAGCGGTTTCCTTGTGCAATTATTTGTCATTTGAGGCGCCGCGTGAGCGCCAAGCTTGTTGCAAAAAAAATGTTTACAAAAATAGTATACTTGCCAAGTACACGAGTCGTCAGAATTCGCCTTTATCTACACTGTGTTTCTCGATCTTTGCCTGTTACATCACAGATTATCACTCTCTCTCTTGTCAATGTTTATCACATGAAACGGAAGTCTTTCGTTATAAACGTAAGTTCATTTTATTTCAAGGTAGACTTTGACGACTCGTGTACTTGACAAATATACTAATATTTGCGTACTTGACAAGTATACTATCTTTGTCATTTTTTTTGCAACAACCTCGGCGCTCACGCGGCTCGACGAACGTTTGCGCAAGGAAACCACTCAAACAACATGGCAAGTATATCTAAATAACAAATGTTTGTCAAGTACACAAGTCGTCAGAGTGCGCCTTTAGATTGTACAAGTATTTTGGCTTTTATTTACTGATCAATGATTACGGAAAAAAAAGATCATGTTTCCTTGTCTAATGTACATGAAAAGAGGAAGACAAACATTGTCTTACAGTAGTCTCAAATATAATACAACATTTTAATATCACCTCTGTTTTCTGTTAGTCTATTTTTTTTCATAATTGATGTCTACAGTCTTTATAAAACCTTTATGGTAGGTGCATTACAGTATTCTTCTAAAAATAACACTACTGAGATAAACACTTAAAATAATTATATATTTGGTTTATGTAAAAATAATCTACGGAGACATATACATATATCCTTCAATGGCTCTTTGCTTCAACACAAATTTTCTTAAATATAAATAAAATATTTCAAACAATTCAAGTTAAGTATATGTTTTAGTGGCGTTTTCCAAGAAGAATTCCCGTGTTTTAATTACTCTTTATATACAAATGAAAAGTGATAAATATTAGTGTGGTGATCGCTACTTTTTTCTATCAAATTGGATAACAGATCCACACTTTCTATAAAGTTTGATAGAAAAAAATAGTTGGACATTAACATCTAAAAAATGTATTTTGTGTGAGTGCGTGTCGCAATGCCGTGTTGCCACATCAATATCTGTTGATGTAATTTGATTTGTAAAATAAATGATGAAAAAAATAAATGAACCTTTTTTGAAATCATGGGACATATATAAGCTAGAAAATAAACTCTAATACGGAAATGTGAAGTATGTGTTAATGAATTAAAGTAAGAATCTGTCCATTGTTTTTTGTACCTACCCGTTTTCATAAACAGGGTGTTTTCCTTACCCAAACCTATAGACTAATAATATGCAGGGTATTCTTATTCTAAATTTAAACTTTTAATTAGATAAATAAATTCAATTTTTAGTCAGTCTTTTCGGTTGCATTCAAAATATGTATTATTTTTTGTATACTATTCACATATATAAAAAAATCCAAATTTATACTAAACTTCATAAAAAAAATTAAACATAATTTTTTTTTTGAAAGCACGTTTATAATATATACACACACATAGAAAAAAATGGTTCAAAATTTAAACGATAATAGGAATGTCGGTTATATGGTCGTGATTAGTGTGAACATTATTAAATTGGGGTTCAGCGGAATCTGTATGATCGACATTGTTAACATGTGTGTTTTCATCAACAGAACACCCTGTATATTGCCTAGTTCTATGGCGGGATTTGCAGAAAGCCCTGCTGTGTGAAAAAAACCTGAGTTAGGTCTGAACAAAATTATATTTAAATACAGGTAATTTAATCCTTTAGCATTGTATAAAGGCTAAAAGATTAGTTGAATAATTCATCAATATTGCTCAAGTTGTACATACTTCTTTTAATTGTCATGACAGTTTTATCATCTACATAAATAAATATCGCTTATTATTTTTACTATTTTACGTCAACTTGAGCACTCTGAATTAATAATTGAAAAATTATCAAAGAAATAGGAGACCATAAATTGTAAAAATAAAGCACTTACCTATTATCGCACATATTAGAAAATATCCAGCAAAAAGATATTGCGTATTACAACCAGATATTTGATCATTATAAATAATTCCACTTTAAGCCTTAGTCATTCATAATTGCATTGAAAACTTAATGAGAGTTATTGTGAAGTGAATGAAATATAAGATTAAGATATTAACGTCGAAATTATAACTGAGAAGTAAGCTGAATATACCAAATCTTTTCTTACATTAGACATTTTGTATATTCCACAATAATAATGAGAAAGAAATAAAAATGTTGTAAACTGGGGGCATATAGACTGTTCTAGCCGGTCTATTACACATTCAGATCTATTCAAAACTAAATTCCAGCTAGATTAAAACAATAACTTATTACTAATAATGACTCATTTTTAAAACGGGCATTTAAATATAATAAACAAGATGGTTTTATAAGATATAAGTATTAAAATCTTTGTTGGACATCATAACAGAAAGGGACGACTTCAAGTAAAAATTAGTATACTAATTAAAAACAGATTATTCAGAAATTTTTGGTTAAAACTGAAATAATGCACAGTTGGTGATAATAATAAAATAAACATAACTAATAGAATTGTTAGTTTACTACCACAATAAATGAAATACTGTGGTAGTGTTTAGTAGTCTATATGTATGTTTTAATTTTATGACATAACAATAGCATTTTATAACAACATATATTCTTAAAATGAACATTAAAATGTCTAAATTTTCCATTGCAAAAATATTCAATTGCTGTAGAATTAATATATTTTCGCACCAAAATAGAATCAATATTAAATATTTTAGGCTTAGAATTCTTAAAAATTTATTTAATTGTGTTAACTGCAAAGTAAATAGCCAGTGTAATAATGTTAAAAAATATGAATAGTAATATAATAAATAATAATAAAAATAGTAATATGTATATGCATATAAGCCACTATAAAATCAATTTTAACGGAAATTGAAATGCTTGTAACATGCTACAAAATGATCATTGTACAACCATTGAAGAACCCATTTTTATAGAACAGTTTGGTAATATAACCCTTCTATAAAAAGTGTTATCACATACAAAAACATGTTAACTATAAAATTATTATATTATTAAAGAAATTCACTTAGTCATATCCATATTTTAATTTTATTTTATTCATGGTACTGTTGTTACTATGTTGTGAATTCAATAATTTAAATCAATAGATTGTTGGACCTTACAACAAAATTGTAATTCTTACAATTTAAATATTTGATCCTTACAACTTTGAAACAAATACTAGTTAAAATATATGTGGTATAAAATATCAAATACAATATCATTATCTATTAATATTATAGAATTGTAATTAAAGCAGAAGTAGTAATTTTGCAATAACTTAATTTAAGTGAATGCAATCTTTGTCTAAAAAGTATAAATTATTTCTAAGGTTTCATTGTTTAAATCTACTCTATGAAAGTCATTAGGTAACAAAGTGTTAATTGGCTAATTTTACTGCTATTTTCTATTGTCCCAAAACAAATGCTTCTAAGAAAAGTTTAGTTAGACAAATAATGAAATCTATCTTAGTGTGTAAAATATAATGTTTAAAAATTTAAAAATAAAAATTAATAATCCTAAAACAATAATTTTATGCTATCTAACAAGAGAAGCGATACATCACAATGTGAATTAATTAAATACAATTAAATTATAACTTAAAAAAATTTAAGCAAGTTGATATGGTCTCTTATTCTTTTTCTACTTTTTCAATTTCAGGATAAAATTTTTTTTAAGAAAGGTTAGTTAGTGATAAAATTAGCAAAAACGATTTAACTCACTTCCAAATTAAATATCCTCCACCTCCCAAAAGCAACACTCCAATTGCACACATAAAGCCAGCCATAATTCCTGCCCAAAGCTCAGTTAAGGGTTCTGAAGGAATATAACAGCCTTCAGAGACAAAAACACGCACAAATTTAGACTTTTCTCCCATGACTAAATGACCAGTCCGGTTACTCTTTGATGCAGCATACACTTGAATATCATAATGTGTATCAGTGGTGACATTCTTAATGACATACTGAAAAGAAAAATAAATATGAGAAAATGTAGATCATGCAACAGTAGCAAAATTTCTTACAGTGATTGATTCATATCTCTTCTCTACAGACATTTCTGTTTTATTTAAAGCAATACCATTCTCATAAGTATCAATATAATACATGTCCAGAGAATCTGGTATTCTTTCTGGCCGATCAAATTTAACCGTAATAGAGTTGTTATATTCACAAGAGACATTTCGGATAATTGGTGAACTAGGACCCATTATGTCTGTCCGGCCAAATATAGGCTGTGATATATTTCCTTCATGTTTAGTTGAGAATGCTTTTACTGTTATAGAATATTGTGTATCTGGCTCTAAAAAAATAATAATAAAATAGTTTCTTCTTAGTAAAGGTGCTTCTCTAAAACTTACTCAGTTCATTCAATACATAAGTCTTGACAGGATCCTTAGGATTGGTGGTATCTTTGCGAATATCAGTGTAGTTACCATGAGTAAAATATATCCGGTACCCCTTCAGCTCTCCATTTGGTTTTTCTGGAGCATTCCATTGTAGAGTCAAAGATGTATCAGTGGCATCTCTGATTGTGAGGTTTGTTGGACTACTTGGTGCTGAAATATTAATATTAGGCGTGTCATTGTTCTTTAGGGTACTAAGAAACTCTGTAATATTAGGTACTGTAAATTCGGTTACTGCATATTCTTGTGCAGAAATAAGACCGCAAATAATGGCTAAAATATAAACAAAAGCATTGCCCATCCTAGACAAATAGTCTAGTCGAAAATATCAATTCAAAACCACTCTTTCATAATAGTGAAGATTTATGTTGAATGGTAATCATTTTATGATGTTAAACTTTGGAAATTAGTACACTAAAACTTGTATTTCTCCAGAAAAATATAAAATAACAAAACCGTATAACCACCACCCATTAGGCAACTGCAAAGGGGAACGCGGTCCCATTTGTCACTTTAGCGATACAATGTTGCCAGCACTTAACAGTGCTCCTTATAATTTCCTTAACTAAACTACATTAAGTACTCATATTGTATATTATCAATCGAATCATTAACTTAACAAAATATGTTTATTGAGTTGTTTTATATAACTAATAATCCTCCCCTAGGTCCCTAGTCATAGCACACAAAACGGAGTGTGACAATATTAATAAATAAATCGAGAAGCTTCACAGCAAATCTAATTAATAAATATCTACTAATTATTATCTATGTACTATTTGATTTTCAAACTCTTAATATTTGTGTTACTCGTACAATTTTACTGTAATAAAATAATACAAATACTTGAAATTAATACCTATAAATATACTTAAAAGGCTTTTATCTTTTTAAGCTGTAAAAATAACGCCTTAAAAATAGGCCAGTATAAAAAATATCTTTTAAATATCACATTATGGTAGTACCCTATTTCGTATTTCCTAGTTTTAATATACTATTATTTACATTTCATAAGAAGGTTTTACAACTACAATATTAATACCATATGATAAAAAAAACGGCGTCCAGTTGGATGGGAAATGACGATCAAAGACATTTCCCATACCTATACCATATAAAAACAGCGATCTTTATTTCACAGCCATCGCTGACGCCGGTTTTTTATCATACAGTATAATGAAGATCGCTATCATTTTATATGTAAAATTATATCGGGAATGTCATTGATGTGCATTTCCAAGCCAACTGGACACCGTTTTTTTCGATCATACGGTACTTAAACTAATTGTAAAGTAATAGATTAGTTACACATTTAGGTTCCTTATTTTAGTTATTCGCAACAACTTTTAAGAGTTTATTACATACATACATATTACAATATTAACTGTCAATTTTAAAGAAGCTAATTACTTTTTTAAAAAAGGAGTCAATAATCGCAACTGTAATGATAATAAGAAGAGCCGACAACGTTGCAAAACCCTGGTGCATAAAGCGCATACTCGCACTATTGCCGGTTCTGATCGCGGTGCTGCTCCTCTCATGCAATTTCCATGCGCTTAACATCGTTGCCAAATATCTTTGAATTTACGGAAAATTCTAATAAAAATCATAATAATCAGAAAAATAGCAGTTCAGTTAAAATTAAAATGATTATTTTAATTTTGATCTAATAGTAAGGATCTATAATTGACTATATGTACACAAAAAGGGAAAATACATTTATATTTATATATACATTAAGTTTTACATGTTTGGTGTAGAATTACTAGTTTATCTTCTAAGAATTCTAAAATATCCTATGAGCGGTTAAGCGTATTGCTGACAATGTAAACTATAGTTTTCCTGACAGTACCAAGTACTTTCATTCTCTTCTGTTTAAAAAAAACTTTAAATTTTATATCTACCTACTCTTTTATGTATTTTTTTATATATGTTTATATACAATATGATATATCGAAAAAAGGGCGTCAGCGATGGCTATGAAATGAAGATCGCTGTCATTTTATGTAAATTTATATGGGAACTGTCATCAATCGTCATTTCCAAGTTAACTGGACGCCGTTTTTTTGAATCATACGGTACCATATAGTGACATTAATACTCCAAATAAATACATACAAATGATTTATTACTTCATGTATAACTGTAGGGTAGATAATAAGCCTTTACGATTTACGATAGAGAGAAACTCAAAGAAGGAATCCATCATCAGGATGACAACTTGAAATTAGCTTTACTGAGAGTTATGAGACAAAAGAAATGTCATTAGAAGTTTATATTCCCGAAAATAATTCAGTTATCGTAATAGAAAAGTACAAAGAACTTGTATGAGAACTGTCTACTGCGTTTTCTGGGCAAGAAAACTTAATTGTGCGAGATACAATAATATTAGATTTTGTTCTATTGCTACACTATAATATCCTAATCGTTGTATATGTTTTCAATCGTATTAGTATTTTAAAAGACAGTTTTGTTAAATCTGTGTATATTCAGATTCGCAAATATCAAAATTCGCAAGATTTTCCTGATGAAAATAAGTTCTTTCGACTTCTCACAGAGCGCATGCAATCCAATGATCTTTATGTTTTAATTCAAATAAGTAGATAAAGAAAAAAAATAATACGAAATATATCTATGCATGTATATATTTTCTTTCACTATTTATTGCACTGAGTGCTTTTTCTGGTTTTATCTTCTATGAAAACCTTTAAATAAAACAAAATACAATTAAAAATAAAAGATTTTGTAGAAAATCAAAAAATTATAATAAACATTTTTTAGAACCAAATAGGCCTGATTAGTCTTGATGTCATAATGTGTAAAACATTACTGAGCCTTATGATTTGCCTACTCTATTTAATCATTCTATTTTTATTCTAAAAATAATTGACATAAATCAATATTCACTTAGCAGTTATCTAATTATTAAACAATAATAAAAGGCAGTTTATGTAAGGAAAGTGATCTAACATCATACACGAATTATAACCAAAAATTAACTTGTGGTTTTCTAACTATATTATTTAAAAATATGAAGAGCACTTTCTCTATCCCAATTTACAGTAACAAATAAAATAAATATTTAATTATTAATTTAATGAATATGTCCATATTATAAAGAAATAACATATAGGGTGTTTCAAAAAACACGTGCCATCTCGCGTGGGGAGATTCCTCACGTTTGTTTCGCAGCTACAGGGTATTAAAATCTTAATAATCCTTCGATTTATTATAATTTTCTTCCAAGTACCTTTAGTGATTCGAAAAAAAAATAATTTTGAAATAAAAAAATGAATTTGAATTTTTGAGGGTAAAAGTTACTATAATATTATTTTTATTATCATAGGGTAAAAGTTACTATAAGTGCTAACATAGGACGTGCATATATGATTTTTTCTTAATAACCCAAATACTGACTTTCTTTTTTAGCTTTATATAAGGACTTATAAAATCTGCCTATGTATACGATTTGTTATTAGGCCGAAATCGATCATCTTTTTGTTGGAAAAACAGAGGCAAAAAGAAAATTTGATGGGTTGCTTTTTTAGCCTTTTACGCGTTAACTTTGAAAAATAAGAAAAGTTTTGAATGAAAAAATGGGCTCAGAGTGACAGTTTTTGTTTTATCCCTGAAGATTATTTAATTTAAAGTTTTCCTCATGTTCGAACGAGTCTCCAAAAATATATCTTATTTAATATGTGCAACATTAAATATTAATGTTGTAATATTTCTTCGTCATCTTTATTATATTCTATTTTATTGTTAGCAAATTAAATTAACTCACAAGATTTGGAATAAAATTTCTGACAAAAAAGTATGTTATGTACATATATGTAGTTTTACTTATAAGGAGGTATTGTATATTTTCTCTTGTAAGAGTTTATACTTGGATAACGTTAAAAAATGGAAATACTTATTGATTTTTTAAATAAATACTGAAACACAACGGCAATAAATATATTATCGAAAAGGAAACGTCTACATGCGCTTGAAATGAAGTAAATTATACGATTTATTCACCCTCGGTTTATATTTTGCAAAGCGGAAGAGCCACAAAATTATTTTTAAAATTCACAAAAGCCCACAATACCTCCATACATTTATCTAAAGCAAGCTGGCATATCAAAGTGGTTAAAAAGAGACTTTAATATGTGACTTCGGATACTAATAAGTGGTCTAAAATGTATAAAAAATCACATAAAAAGGTGTGGGTTCTGGACGTAAATATCTCTCGCGGTTATATCGAACATTAATTAACAAATAGTATAGTACCAACCTTAAAATATTTAGTTTCAAAGGGTTTATCCTCCAACATTGTTGAAATAAAGAAAGAAGTAAATTGATAAATTGCATATACAAGACATTATCTGACATTTATACTTGATGTATTTTTAATACTCTCTTAAAAATTCAAAGAAAAATTTACATAGCTGTAAAAAATAATTGTAAAATAAACATACCATTCATTTTTGTTTACATCGTGTAAATAATGTAATATAACATGATATATATCTGTACAGTTAGTCATTAGCAAGCTTGTTCCTTTTAAAATTTAAGTTTGTTTTACTTAAAAAAAACTTAGGGGCTTTATATTTTCAACGTTCAAGTATTTTTCTTCTGCTTTTCAATAAATTTTAATAGTTGCCTCAAGAAATGTACATTTTTATGTGTTCATATCGCATTTTTGGATAACGATGTCCTGAAATATCTTATTTTTGTTTTATTTAATTTCAAATTTTTGAATATCCATTTTTAAATAAGACAAAGAAGTTTTTAACACGTTTAATTTGATTTGTCCTTAAAATTTTAACGATAGTCTTGTTAATTATGTCTCTCTGCGTATGTTTTCACTTTTCAAAACCCAAAAAAATATGTGTATATTTAAATAAAAAGGCACAAGAAGGAAGTATTCAACCGAAACACTTTAATTGGATGTTTATTTTGTCTTGCTTTTTTGGAAAGTCAATAAAAAATACTTGAAAAATAAGGTTGATTGACCAATTTTTAATGGATATATGATGGCTCTTTTTATATCGTTAATGTGATTACAGTTGGGGGTTGGAACCTTTGGTGTTATACAGCAAAATAAAACACTAAATCACCACAATACACCAAAACACTCTTACTTTTACACTGGACGCGCGTTTCGCTAA